TTCAGTCACATGCTCTGCTGTTGCTGCAGAATCCTTTATTCTCATCCACTGCTATTCTCATTCCCCGCGGCTGCAAGAGCATGCACCAGTTTCTTCACTACCTCTCGAGTATCCCGCTCATCCTTTGACCCGTGCTTCGTTCTCTGTAGGATTTGTTTGAGGCCTTCGGCACTGAATACATCGTAGTCTCCTGCCAAATACTTCAGCGTTTGAATAGTTGCGCCCCATTCCTCGTCTGTGATCGGTGAGCTTACACACCTATCACGACTAACTTCGTCTTCGGACTGGTCATCTTCTCCTTTTCCCTCTACATTCACCTGTAGCGCTTCCTCAGCTAGCTCCTGCTCATCCTTATTTCCTACTACTCGGAAATCCCAGCTGTTCTCCATAGTAGTCTCGGCGATCAGATGCTCGAAATATGCCCTCTCCTGCTCTTTATATTGGTTGTGTCGGGAGTATTGAAGTGGTTGTTGCTGTTCAGCATGGGTTGGCTGCCGTAGTCTGAGCTGCTCGCGCATTTCCGTCGGAAGGACTGGCGTTTTAGCAAAGCAGTTTCGCAGCGTTAGAGGCTTCACTTGACTCCATGCATAAGGGATCAATGTCCAAGCGAGTTCGTTGGAGATATATTCCTTTTTATCATTGCTGCGAACGAGATAGGTTTCATAGCTGAGCATCTCTAGGAAAACTCGTTTGAAAAGACTGATCACGCCCGCGTCGAGAGGTTGAATTATTGATGTGGTGCTTTTCGGGAGCCGCTGTATGCGAAGATATTTCCAAGGCGTGTTGGTTCCTGAATCACGCATGTCGATGCTGTTGTGCACACCTGTGGAGCCAAGGAGAAGAAGGGTCGGCTGCGAGAGATCGTCATCAAACATTTGTAGCCATTTTACGAATAGGTCTTCGTTCATCCATCCCGAGTTCGTTTCGTTCATGAGCATCCTATCCGCCGAATCTTTTTCAAGATCCTTTGGGATGCTTGTGCCTAAAATAATGGGCATTACAGATAGTAAAGGTCAAGAATTGAACGAATAAATAAGAGGCGATTGCAACATAAATCATACATTCAACGCATTACCGATAACCAACGGCTTCAACGAATTTTTGGTGTCTGCCACGGCGATGGAGGAACCAGAAGCGTTAATGCAAAACAGGATGGAGACCCTGCAGCTTCTGTTGGCCTTGGTACCCGACTTTGGCCCTGGGGTTGTGTAAAACTTGTCGTCCAGCTCCTGCAAGTAAAAGCCAGTCTCGTCGCAGTTGAATATGTTGTCCGGAGTGTATTGGGCGCAAAGCTGACGGATGTCGGTAAGCTCCGGTTCAATCGCCTCCAGATCGACTGATCCTGCTTCTCCATGAAGCTGGCAATATGTTATTCGATAGCGTCCCTTGAAGGCATTAACCCCCGAGGCTGAAAATGACGGTGATACTTTGGACGCCGTCTTGTCCGCTACGTCATCAAACCACGCAACCGAAAATGACGGTGGTGTCTCAGACACGGTATTGCCCGAATTATCCTGAAGATCGACTAGAATCGTGCCGTTGACAGGGACGTTCAGAATCCGCTGGTCTTGCAGCCACCGGTAGAGAACCTCCTCAATCATTGCACCCTTGCGATCGACGATGTGATGGGCGTCCATGGGGTGCGTCTTGGCTGCAGCACGCAATTTGTCTTCTCGCTTGAGCATGCCTTCAAGGCTATATCTCGAAAGATAGACTCCTACCATGGGCCCAAAAGAGCTGTGAGAAAGCTTGATCGGGAGGGTTTCCTTCCGATCATGGAGATAATGATATATGTCCAGCAATTCGACTTGCTGCTCCAGGGTGTGAGAGACCCTAGCCATTGGGATCTCGAACTGCTCGGCGGTAGGAAATACAAGGCGCGCAGACATATCTTTGCGCCTGGCACAATTCAAAAGGACGTTGTATCTCAGTCGACGAATGCGCTCGATATCCTCAAGTTCGCGCTCGGTGTATTTTTTGTCATTCTTGGCAGGAAGGTGTACAAGAGTTGGTTTTTGTTTTTTGCTTGTCGTCGTTGCCTGGGTCGAGAGCGGCTCATAATGTCTTTTTGGGGGAGTTTTTGTAGCCATGGTGTTGAGAAATATAGAATGCAACATGAGAGACGTGTCGATGGAGACGCATTGTGCGACAAGAAGTACTGTTGCGGCGCGACATGTGACTGTATTTTCGTCTTTAGAATAAGTGGTTCAATTCATTTCCCAGTTAAAGTTATGGGCCCACTTTACATACAACAATGGAATCAAAACCAGTTTCGGCCTAAAAACTAATCTTTTGAACCATTGCAGAAATCCGCATTCCTAGCCCTTATTTTCAGATCGTAAAGAAATAAACTGCACTTCTTTGCTCATGAGATCTTTTCTTGAATGTCGCATTGTCTGGTATACATAGATAAGCCCACGGTCTTTCGCTTAATGTCAGTAGCCTAGATAATGTGCTGCTTTGTGGACACCGCCTCTTTGCCCTACTGTGCGTTTCCTTCTTTCAGAGCAAGAGGTATTCCGCAATTTGGTCAATTATTCTCCCAGTGGGATGCTCTTTCATTGTCCGTCAGGATTGACGCAAGCGGAAGAGCGCGTGCCTCACATGCACCAGTGCATTTTTCGACTCGTGTAATCGACCTGGTATCTGTTACTGTTGTGATGCGCCGAGTCAAGTGCTGCAGTTCTCTGATATCTGAAATATCATGCGAAGAGGATGGTTTTGGCGTTCTTCGTTAAGTATGCGGGAGGCCCCCATTTGGTTATTGAGGCTGGCCACAATCTCCAGAGCGTTATGAGGTTCACTAATGAGGAGTCTAAGTCTGCTCTCTAATTTTAACCATAACGCATGCAACGCATGGGAGGAGTAGTAGACTATGAAAACCGCGTGTATGTCGAAATTTCAGACGACGCGAATACCATGCATAATACGAAGCACACTCGTTTACTATTTATATAGACCAACTCTTGAATGTAATATTTTTATCAGTTTCAACAGCTGCCCTCCACAGTGAGATCCATTTCGTTCGCCTTACTTAACAAGTAATGATCTGAGGTACTCGTCGGCGCAAGAGGCAGTAACTGCGAGGTGCCACATATCCAAAAAGAAGAGGAAATTGGGTGACATCCGAAGCGGTCTATAGGTAGCTACAAGTTCGAAGGAACTCGGCGACAAAGAGAGCGGGGTCCACAAAGAGAACTGTAGACGCTGAGGCGATAATTGGCAGCTCGGTGCTTTGTCGTTACCACTGCTCCCTAAAAAGGCACATGCTGAGGGTGGCACTCTTTCGGAACGTGGTCGTTTAGACTCGCCAACAACACCTATAAGGTCTCTCGCCCCCCACTCTTTCCTACTTCCCCATTTACTTTTATCTCACTGTCCACCCTGCCTACAACGGCGGCATCATATCCCGTAATCCTATTGTACCCCACATCTAACGTTCGTCCCCATCCATTTTAAAGTTCGGCCGAGTTGCACACAGCATTTTCGTCAAAGCTCGTTTGTGAGTATTGGTCTCGTTAGGTCCGCTAGACCTGGTCCACAACATGCTCATAATCCGTACTGATGAATGGAGGACCTCTATAACATGTTATCAGTGCGGTGTCTTAGGAAAGGTTGAGGGTTGGGCCATCAAGTGCCAACGATGCAATCAGGGATACGCGCAACATTAGAGCTTATTTGAATTCATTTCCATGCAGCATACTACTTGGGCGTCCACATCGATTTTAGTGGCAAAAAGCTTCAGGTTTCTATCTTACAACTTGCTGACACAAGGTTAATGTCATTTCTTGACTTTTAGCGTATTTATTAGTTTACATAAGAAATGACCAACACTAAGGAAGAAAAAGATGCTTGTATGCGTTCATGCCAATCCAGCTCGACGTAGTTTAATCAGCCTCGATGTCCTCGCTGTATGGACGCATTCTTACGACAGCGTTCATGCCCACTACGACTGCTAGACACATAAATGTGATCACAGGCATCAGACGCGTCCTCACCCATCGGCCTCGATGCGCCGCATGCGTATACTGACTCGCATGAACCTTTGCTGTAGACAACAGCCCGCTGCGTTCGTCTACCTTGCCACTTGTCCTGTAGGGCATCGCTTCTCCCTCGCCTTCATCCGACGGCTCGTGCCCTTCCATGCGGATCAAATGTGCCCACACAGTCGTGCCCATGCAGAGGCAGCTCACCACCAAGAACAACGACGCCGCCTCCAACCCAACACCGTCTCCAAAGTTCATCAGCGCCAGGACAAGCCCAATAAATAGCAGAGCGATGTTAATGCCGGACAGACCCGTCCAGAAGACTTTGGCCATCGAAGCACGGACACTATTTCTCCTCTGCGGATAGACTTCGTGTTGGCCTTCCAGATCATATGACATTCTATAGTACCGTCTGCTGCCGCTGCCGCTGCCATGCTGTTGGCGCTGTTCGTCGCCATCGTTATTCAAGAACGGAATCCAGCTTGCCACGTTGTCGAACCAATGTACTACCGCACTGCTCTTGAATGTTACACGCTTCCTGTTACTCATTCTGCTCGATGTGACCGACCCTTCTGGCGAGGCAGATCCATATCCTTCACTACCCCTCAGCACACGCAGGTCTTCGCTTGAGCTGCTGAGGCTCTGCATGCTCCTGAACGACCCGTGCTTCTTAAGACAGCTGACGACGGGCTTCGTCACTTTGGGGACCGCTGAACTAGCGCTGTCCTGACGTTGCAACAACATGCGGTTCACTGTCTCGAGATCCTGGACCTCTTCGTCAAACGTCACATTGGGGGTATAAATCTCGTTCGAATCCAGGATGCTCCTACGGGAGCGAGATGGCTTCTTGGAAGATGGCTTCTTGGATGACGAAGAAGGGGAGGAAGGTGGTCCATTGTCGGACATGCTGGTTGCGGCAGTTGAATGGCTTGAGGTCAATGTATCGTTCGACCCAGAGTTCGAGTTCGAGTCCTGAAGTGTAGATCGGCGCGGGAATCCGCCGGTCAACATGGCGGGCTTGCGGATATCACGATCCATATCTGAGAGCTGTAATATGAAAGAGAGTAGACCAGATTAGTATGAGTTCCCATGCCGACAATAAACTAACAGCCAGCAGGATGTCCAGGGAAACATAAGCCGCGGAAACGTACCCAGAAAGGAAGCAGTCCGACTCGAGACTCGTACAGAGTAGCGACTGCATGAAGGTCCTTGGCAAAGTTGGGCACCATCTCGACCAGATGACTCTGAGCAATGTGATCCACCCAGCTGGGGATCTCCTCCTGAGGCTCCGTCAACGTACGAATCTGCATAATCGCATAGGGGAATCGCACAATATCCTGTTCACGGATGTGCGAAAACGGATAGTTCTCAGTCTGGAGATCAACAGGGTTCCATGGCCTCTCGTACAAATCTGACTTTTCGATACTCTTCTCTCGGACCATAACCACATCCGTGTCAATCGTGATGCGGACTCGAGCATCCCCGGGCACCTGGAATGCTGTCCTGTTGAAGAACGTCTGTGTCACGGGCTGGAGACCACGTTTCTTGATCCGCGACTGCACAGTCCGGGTCGACTCTTCAAACTGTTGGATCTCCTGCTCTGACTTTTGTCCTGAACGACGCATCTGCTCAATAGCTTTGTTCATCTTGGCGGCACCTTCGATCAACTTGGGAACATACTTGGACTTGATCTGGAAGCGATGCTTGGTTACGATGGGCTCATCTGCTGCCGGCGGCGCTGAAGGCGAGGACGACGTCGCCGAGTAAGGTCCTGTGACGGACTGCAGACTCCTCTGCTGGTGCTCGACCCACATGAGCTTCTGCTCTGATCCATACCACCTCAAACGCACCGTCTCGCTCTGCTCCCGATGTTCCAGTTGGCCCATGTACATATCAAAGTCCTGGTTATCGAGATAAATGGTCGAGACCGGGCTCTCACTGGCTAGATACGAGCTCAGTTGGCTGGTGGACTTGTGGGACGAGTTTAGTGCAGGTGTAGGTTCATAGACAACCAGGGGTAAATACTTGAGAATAAGCATTTTGAGGTCCATGACGCAGTCTGGATGGACCCAGAAGGCCGTCTTCTTGGGTATGCAGCCAGGGTGCTCCAGCTCTTCATCTTCTTCAGAGTCGATCGACTGTGTCCTAGTGATAACGGGCGCAGTTCCTGTGCGGACAATGTTGTACAGACACGATAGACGGCTGACGAGTGTCGCAAAGCTCTCCTTGTGGAACGGCTGGTTGTTGAGTTGCAGGTTCATAAAGTAGGCTCTGAGGGTGAATCCCGTGTGCTTATCGTGCTTCTTGACAATCTTGAAGAAGGCGGTGTAGTTCAATCGCTGGAACCGGGCCAGATCCTGTAAATCATGTGTAATTCTGTTGATCTCAGACTCTGTCTCGACAAAGGATGAAAGGGTCAGTCTTTCCGACGACTTTCCAGAAGGCTGCTGATGTTGTTCGATTGTGTGCTCACAGTGCTCTGTCCTCCGCTGAATTTCGCCCAGTTTGAGAGCTTGGAACGAGGCGACCTAATTTTTCAGAAGGGTGACAGTATGTTAGTGCGGTGCAGTTCGTTGAGAAGGGGAACAAACGTCAGGAGGCGCAATGCACTGCTTAAAACTTGACGATAGTTGGGTCCTCTTACCTTCTCAAGCTCGGTGTTCAATTGCTTCACGAACTCGACCTCATCTTGTTTTGTGAACTCGCGGTCTTGGCTTTTGGACTTGAGCTGGGCCTTGAGGCCATCATAATCGACATAGTGGTATCTCCAATGGGATGCCCGGTGAGCCTTGAGCTGCGTGCCGAATTTCATTTCCTGCCTTTATGACTGGATGATCGAGCGTATGAACAGGCGTGAAAGGGAAAGGGATTAAAAGAGAGAAAGAGGAACAAGAAACCAAGCGGTGTGAGTACCATATGCGTTTTACTATGATGCATGCGCTTGGCGCACATTCTCGTCGGGGTTTGTTCGTGTTCTCACCACACACGACCAATGCAAGTCTCCGCATCGGGCATCGAAAGATAATTTTTTCTTTTTGAACGAAAAGGAGGTGAAGTATCTCTCCCAACTTCCCATTCCACCTCCCATCATCATTGTCGCTGCACATGTGTTAATGCTTCTGCTGCTTCCCCCCACAGATTCCTGTCCACGATCCTCCCGTGGTGGCACCAGCATCATCCGCCGTCACTGGTCGTCAACCTCCCAATGATGATGGTATTGCTCAAAGTTGACCTTACCTCAACTTGGTTTTTGGGATTAACTTTGTGTGTATGGTCTATTGGAACTAAAAGAAAAAAGAATATGCGGAAGGGTACAAAAACAACAACAAAAAACAGCCCGTTAATATACATAGAAATATTCATAATATTCATATACCATGTCACGTAGTAGTTGCTGAGCCAACATTACGCCTGACGTTTCAAATGAAGGGAGAACGAGCGGATTGGAAGGAAGGGTGATAGATTCCAGAAAAACGAATGCGAGGAAGGCAGTTGAGACGGAGTGTGAGTGCCGAAATAAAGTGCTGAGAAAAGATCATAGATGACACTGCTGCCCTGAAGCATACACAGATCTCATGCATAAAAATGGGATGCTCGGTAATGCTTCCCAGATAGGGGTGGCTTTCGCTCAAGGGAATAATCGGTCCCGAACCCCCCCCCCCCCATCCCTCAAAGCTGATAAAAGGGCAGTGGCATGTAGACTAATGTAAGCAATAACAAAGCTACTCAATTGCTCACAACCCATTTTTTTTTTTTTTTTGGTCGTGTGGTGGTGGTGCAATCGAATGGCTGCAAATGAAACGGAAACACACAGGCCACTCTCCGCTTTATGCATCCCATCCCCTTCATCCAAACTCTCCTTGGATCTCCCTCCCCAGCGCATTCCTCCTACACACCCATTGACCATCCAAATACTGTTCGACATGCAAGCATCGAAGGGAGAGGGGATGCAGAGCTTGAGAGCCAAATGTATCGAAAGGGAGGAAAGTGAAGCAGCCAAAAGGAAGGGGTGGGAAGGCCAAGATGGGAATGGGAATGGATGAGTAAGAGTGGGGCTGTGTGGGCTTAGTTATCCTTACAAAGAAAAAAGGAGTCTATGGAAAGATATTAGACGAATGGAACGCTTGCGGGAAGACCCTGATCCACATCAGTCTGGACCACATAGACCAGAATGAAAAAAAAAAAAATGTGTCCGCACCCACACCCGAGAGCAGATAGACGAAAAGAATTGATGACACCATGAAGGTTCTCTGGCCCAGAAGGGCCCTTTCGTCCATTGAGGACATCGCTCGAATTATCGTCATGACGATAGGATGCATCGAATGAAAACAGGTATAGGAAGCCATGGTATGCGAGCGACAGAGAAACGTGCAAGCAGGACTGGAAACCATTGAGATGAAATAAAAGATGCCTAGCAGGATCTTTGGTTTCTCGGATGGGATCTCTAGCTTCAAGCGAGATGCTGCATGCACAGCCATATCGATGGTAGATCCCCCACCTATGTCATCCTTGATCCGGCTCGTGAAGATGTTTGTGGAGATGTGTAAGAGAGGACGATGGACTTACGTCTGTTTGTTGAGGGTGGTACAATGAATTAACAAAAACGACGTGATGAAGGTGTGCAATTGACGGCGGATAAGTGTGAAAAGGAGGAGAGGAGGGGAGGAAAGGAGGAAAGGGGGGAAGAGGCGGGTGTGAATGAGGCGAGTGATGGCAATGGAGCTGAATGGGAGGTGTTGAATCAGGCGAGCTGAATGGGAGGAGAGGAGAGGGGCAAGTAGTCAATAAGACGAGCGTAGTGTATTGAATCGTGCTGGAAAAGTAAACAGTCGAGTGGTAGAAAAGGGGGGGGGGGGGGGGGGGCTACCAAACAGAACACCCCGTTGTAGTTCGTTCTACGACCATAGCGACTATTGTGCGCGGACCGACACATTTGCAAATAGACCAGAGACCAAGACAAGCAGGAAAAGCGAAGAGGGTCGGGAATGACAGTGTACCGTATCCGACAGAGAAAAATATTGATAACGCAAGACAGGGCGGAAACACGCCCTCGACAGGCCACCACATGTTAAGCAACTCTCGACTATACGTGTTCAGGTACATCGGTGCATGAACGTAATTATGGCACGGATGACACGCGAGACAGCAGGATGAATGAGGACTGGGCACGGTAAAGGCGCGATAGACCGCTTGGTCTTTGTTATAGCTGTGTGTTCTCAATGGTTTATGCTTACCTTTGATGAAAAGGTGTAGATTGTTAAAAAGAGAGCAATGGCGCGGGGGTGGTGGTGCAAGCGACAAAGAGAGTATGGTGAGGGAACGGGAGGGAATGACGAGCAAATGGAAACTTTATAATTCCAACAGGGTCTAAAGAATGGCAAGAGAGGACAGGATTGAGCAATGCTGTGCTGCTGTGAAAGCGTTGGGAAGGATCTAGAAGAAAGAACGGACTCGCGACGAGAAGGGCAAAGGGAGAATGCAGTGGAGGGGAATATGCCAATTGGGCATAGGCTTTATATGTCTACGGGCCAACGCTAGCCTAGCATCGTCCATGTTAACCCATGGGCGCGTGAATGAATTGCAACTTTACTCGACTGAATATTTCCTATTGAAAACAATTCAAACTTAAGCGGAACAGGAACAAAGGCGTGGCGCTCTGAATGAATCTCTTTATTATTGAAAAGATCGGGTGCGGAGCAAAAAAAAAAAAAAGAGTCCCCTCTCGGCTAACTGGCCGCGGAGAAGCCCTCTACGGCCACAACAGCATCCGGCCATCTCTAGAATCAGCAATTCAGTTAATTCCTATTATGAATCGCCACGACAAGTGTCATGTCCTTCACCTCCAAAAAAAAAAAAAAAAAAAAAAAAAAAAACCTCGTCGGAAAACGCAGCTGTGCAGCAATGGAGTACAGATCTGAGGTATTTGCAACAATGGTGCTTAGCATTACCAACATTGACGCCTCGTAAAAAAACCCTGCAGAACACGATTAAGCACTCTTGCTAACCATAACTCCTCTTTTCTTTTTCTGATCACGAAAAGGGTGCCCCAGTCCATGCTAGAGTGTTGGACGCTACTTCATAATCATACACATGTTAACAATTGAAGACCGCTGTCAGTTCTTACGTTTCAGCAACAATTCCTTGCCTGCTTGAGATGTAGCGAGAAAATATCGGAGACATGCTTCTGTCGGTCAGATGGACCCCTAGGTATTTGAAGAAACACCTCCTGCTTTCCCCCTTGCCTAGCCTCATGCGCCCTCGCTTACCGCCCACGTTCGTGGTTGACCGAAAGGGCGCATAACCAATTCCTGCAACAGGGCGGAAAGGTAAATCGTTACCGACAAAATAAAAAGAACAAATAGTCACTATCTCCGGCTCTATTTCAACTCCTTCATTGCCTTGTGTGACCCCACACGACCAATAACCATTTCTCTCCTCTGTAGCCTAAAAATTCTTTGGGCCGACTCGTAACACGGCAATCGACTGTCCGTTTCTGGTCGACATATTTTGAAGATCGAAATTGCCCGTGAAAGGGAGAACAGCAACAGCTTATCCCTGCTCCTTCCTTTTCTCGTCCCAGGCAATGTTTATGGGGTTTAGGGCGGTAAGAATGCATGGTAGACATTCCATCACCTATGCCTCTCTCTTGTTGCCCCCTTTTCTGTTTTTTTTTCTACGCAGAAACACCCTTTCCTGAAATCTAGACTAGGGGGATGGATAGGGAGGTAATCGTTCCTCCCAGTAGCTCACGGGAAAAGAAGCAACAAGTTAGCTGTCAGCTGTCAATGGCCAAACTTTCCATGTTATGCCGCAAGATATGTGTGTTTATGAATGAAAGTGAAAAAAAAAAAAACGTGTTCTTCATGCATAACTTTTGTCTCCCATGTTAGGGGGGTGGGGGAGGAAATCGTGTTTAGCGATACTGCCATACATCTTGTTTTTATCACTTTCTGGTTAGATTGAACCACAACGCCTGGGGAGAGGGGGTCAATGGGATGAGCCTTATACTTTACAATGCGAGCTGGCAAACTAGCACGCACACGAGCAATTAAAGAAAGAACTCTGATTAAAACAATCCCACATTGACAATGCAACGAGGAAGGTAGCAAGGGCAGCTATAGGGATGCAGAAGCGCACTCCAGAATGTGTAGCTGTCAACCTCAAGGTCAGGGCTCCTGGGCTGTCAAAAAAAAAATGGCCGACGAAACTGTGTAACGCCTGATGCACCTCCATCGATCAAAAAACAAAACAAAAAAACAGCAGCAACAGACATTAATTCTTGATCTCATTCACACCGTCTCCGCAGCACGATCGAGTAAAACGGTTCCCCCACAAGGACTACCGTGCCCATATTACAGGGATCACGCGGGCTAGCATAGCAATGTGTGAAGTTAAAGCACCTCTTTTATTTTTTCCCTAGCACACGCATTGGGTTTCTACATGCCATTCTTGGCCAAAAAGAAGGGCTTGCTTGTTTGTTGGTCTTAATCCGGCACTATCCGAGGTACATACGAGCATACTGTGTATGCAAGTATGTACTCTTTGAATTTACGATGCGATGCCATGCAGAATTTCTCATCAGCAACCTTGATGCTGCTTGGGGGATTTGTTGTTTGTTGATGAGTACCACCCGGAGTACTGCTTGAAATTCGTAGGCTGCGTTGCGGCTCTAGCCCTCCTCAGAGCTCTGCCGAGGGCTGTCATTTTAGATGATCGTTCTTTTTTATGCACGCCCATCCTTAATAATATTGTCCGCGATTTGTATTGCTTTTATTGGTGACAACAAGACATGTCGAAAGCGCGGTTTCAAGCATCACCTGGACAACACAAAGTAGGTTCAAAAATGTTATTCCACCGGCTGTATAGATAGTCTAATAGCTATCGCGGATGGGAACAAAAAAAAACCACCCTACTGCTTCATGGGTTACTATCGTCTATATATTTTTTCTCTTATTGGTCGAAACTAGGCAGACCTTTTCTTTAAATCATCCTGACGTTAGCGTAAAAAAATAGGGAGTGAAGGATTTGGAGGAGGCTGTCAAAAGGAAGGTCCATGGATTGCCTAAACGCGCTTTGTTTTGCCTTGAGGGGTTCACTGTAGCATGAACAAAAAGAAAAAAGAAGGGAGAGCGGATTGTCATGCCTCATGAACGTTTTGCCATTTATTATCTCGAACACACCCGCATTAACCTCCAGAAATATCTGCGCTGCAGTTCCCATTCCCATTCCCTTTTTTTTGCTGATTAGGAAAGGAAAAAATAAAAAGGTGTTCTTTCCTGTACTCCTTCCATTCAGCAACAGCACTACTTTTTCCAAGCTCCCTCTCATCCAGGCTCAGAAAGCGCTTCGCTCTGCACTGGTAAAACATATTAAATATAAGGTCCTCTCCAAAGTAAAACGCACGATCTCTGTTTCTTACCCCGTTAAAGGCCTATGTCACATACATTTCCTGTAGTATAACTATCCAAAACAGCTCTTAAAAAACACAATCGGATCAAACTGAGAATAAGTGGTCCATTCTTTGCTCATTTTCGCTCCACCGGGTCGAGTGACCCAAGGTGGTTCATGCTCCGACGGCTGGCCCCCGCACTTAATAGCAATGAGAAGGGTATGGGCGCCATTCCATATGAAGATGCTTTCTCTCTCTAAAAAAAAAAGCCCACTCCTAGTCTATCCCCTTCGATACATTTTTCGAACTTTAAAAAACATAGGAGACTGCATGCAGCTATGGGTAAACAACGCGGCCTTTCCACCAATCAGCGACGCACGTGGACCTGATGAGTGGACAAGCTTTGTCCAAAAATGGATAGCATTTCTAACGGCATGGTTGGTCTGTGCTGTGCTGATTTGTTTACGGCCGATGGGGTACAAAAAAAATCTCTGTGTCGAGTGCGGATAGGGATGTAGGGATTCAGGGATGCGAGATGGGCATGTTTGTATACGTCCTTGCTTTCTTGTTCGGATAGCAGGATATGCACTCTTGGTGGAGTTGATGGGTGAGATGGACCACGAGTAATGAATTAGAAAACCCTCCTCACTTCTAGATCCGACACGCCTCATCTCCTATTTTCTTTTTTTCCTTTATTTCCCTTTGTACCGGAGAAGGGAAACGTTGTCAAAAGAAAGATGGGGTTTATCGCTATTAGTTATGAATCCCCTTTTCTTTGAACTTAATTGTGCCACGAGACATTACACAGAACCCCCACTCACGCGAGCGAAAAAAAAAAAAAAAAAAAAAAAAAAACAATGAAGATCCGTCCATCCTCAAAATCTCTGGGCTCTGCTTTTGCTTATTCATCTATGTTTGGGGGTACAAAAAAAAACATTCGCCCTCTTTCCGTTCTAGTTCCGCTTCTCGGGCCATTTCCACCATCTCCTACTGTACACAAACGTTGACTGCACAGCGGACTTGAGTTTCTTGTCTCCCCCCCCCCCTTGTACGCCCCAGATCGTCAAATGGGACTGTAAGGACATCCATCGTGCGAAGGTATATGGAGCCCATTGGACAGAACCTTGTCCGAGCAGCTACCTTTTTAATCCGCACACAAAAACTGTAGTCCCTAGATTTTTCTTCTCTTTACGCGATTTTCTAGAAAACACGGGCGGAAACTGAATCTTTCTGCCATTGCCTGTTTATTAGATCTCCATGGGGGATATCTAACCGAGGGACAAAAAAAAATTTAACCAAATATATGCCTTTCGGACTAGGCATAGGAAGAGTCAACATAACCTTTATCGTGATTGGTATCATGTCCATAGGATAGGAAGACGCGGCTACAAAGGACCATCTATCTCTCTATGCTTCTTCTATGTCTCTATCAACATCGATATGTTCCCCCCTATTATTGTTTCGTAAGACATTATCATTCATTCATAAAAAAAAAAAAAAAGCGGCCGCTACTACCAGCACCATCACCACCACCACCACTACCACCTTCTTCTCCTCCTCCTCAAAACAGGAAATACATCATAAAAGCACACTCAACCGTCAAGACCACCGTCGCGGCCGCATACTGCACCGCAATCAATGCCGCCATCTCCGCCCCCGCATTATTCGTCCTCCGATCCCACACCTGGGCTAACACAAAGCACGTAATGCTCGTCGGCGACCCCGACATCAGCATCAGCGTGAACTGTAACATATGGTTCTCAGCACTGACCCATCTCCACTGCTTTACCAACAACATCTGGACGGTCACGATCCCAATCAACGGCATCACCACCAACTTCACTACCGTGATCATCGTCAACGCCGGCACCAGCGGCCGCATCCGCCCGGGCTTCAGGCGTGATAGAGATGCACCCAACACTGTCAAGCCCAAGGGAACGCAGCACCCTCCGAGCATGAGTGTGATCTCGAGGATGAAGCTCAATGGAGGAAGCTCATCCGGGGAGGGGAGAGGGTTTGGGGTTGAGACGAAGAGTGCTCGGAGGGGCGTGAGTGCCATTAGGAGACCGAGTATGAGGCCGATCGTCGGAGGGGTGAGGTACTCGCGTGTCAAGTGAAAGACCCGCCAGAACCAGTGGACTTTTGAGCGATTAGACATGTGTGCGTTCTGGAGGGCCGGTGGAACTTTGGGCAGTGGGTCTGGCAACGGCACCGCCGCCATAGGTTCTGCAACGTTGGAAGCCGTACTTCCGATAGCGATCGTAGGTTCCGGAGTTGGAGGTTTGTGGTCACTTACGTGCGCAGAAGGTAAAACTGTACTAGTTGGGGCCAATGTATTGGATCGCGATGAGTTTGAGGATCCTGAACTACCGCTAGGTTGCTGCAGTAGCGGGGGTCGATATCCGTTACTCAGGGGTGATCTCTGGGATTGTTTTCCTGCCGAGAAGCGTGTCATGCCCGTGCCACTGCTCGCTATGCTCTCAACACTGTACCTCTGCTGAGTCTCAGAGGATTTGAGGAGCTGCAGCGGGCATGATGGCAGAGGTTGATCATTGTTGCTACCGCGACCGCTACTACTGCTTATATACGAGTTCTGCACGAATGGATTGGTCTCTCTCGATGATAGCGGTCCTTCATATCGGTCCTGTGGCGAATGCAATGTTGGAGAATGAGCCAGCTCTTGGTCATACGGTCGGTACCTCAACTCTTTGGCATTGTCTTCCGAGATGTAGTCCATGCTGATCATCGTTGACGTTGCCGAGAACGAAGACTGCACTCCGCTCTCTTGTTGCTGGGTGTGTTCGCCAGGAGATGAGAAACGGCGCCGGTTCTGTTGTCGTGGAGACTGTCTAGGACTTGAGGGTATGACGTCGCCCGATAGCGCGAAGCCGCTTGAATCAGGCGAAGATTGTACGCACTCGTGCTCTTGGAGTGAAGCCGTCAAGTTCCTCAAACGTTTAGATTCCTTGACATGATCGTACCGGATTAGACGGTACCCGCCCAAGGGGAAGAGGAACAGGTAAAAGACAGAGATGAACACGCTCGAGTAAGCTGTGCCTTGCGCGCCATCGCCCACCAGGAACGGTGGGTGATCTGATACAGCCAAAATGATAGAAATCGGTAGGTCACCCTGTATAGACATGAGCGGAGAAGGGAATAAAACGTTAGTAAATGATGCAAAGAACTAATAGGTAAGTGGGATAACATTTTTAATTAGTGTGATGAGCGGTGATTTACAAAGTTCGTGAACATTGTGGCTGCAACGATGCCCCAGTAGAGCCTCTTGGGAACCAACTTGGTTCTCTGGATCAGAAATCCAAACACAGCACCCATGGCAATGTAAAACACCGCTATCATTGCGACAAATCTGAAAGCACATAAATTTAGTAACCACTACAACTGGACGCCCAGCACATGTAAGAATATCAAATTCAAAGGCCTAAGAAAGACCTACCCCAGCTCTTCAGCATTGTCCGGACTGACACATGTTAGCATCTTGGCAAAGAGCAGTGCTGGCAGCGTGTAGTTGAGAATCAGGCCGGCGACCACCTTGGCTCCTGCAGGCGTGAGTAGGCCACGCTTGGCCATGAGGGCACCACATCCTGAGCACACACGGATGAAATAGTAATATGTCAGTCCTTACTTATGCATGAGCAGGAACCAATTACATCCTACTGTTCCATGCTCAAGCATGCATGGGGCCAGGTTTGCTCCCTGGTTTTGCTTACCTCCCAGCACCAGGAACTTGATGATAGGCCTTGGGGTAACAGCGTTTGTTTCATTTTATTTGTTTGTGTAGATGAATGTGAGATGTGGCAGGTACAAAAAGGAGGTTCATCCCGGTTAGTGCCCCTGGCAGAGAACCAGTGATTGGCTCTTTGATTGCTGTGCACAGCACAGATTTTCATGCCACAGATCATAGACACCATGGAATACAGAATGGAGTATATCTGCTACGACGCGTTGGCATGGGGACAAATAAAAGTATTTGCTGCCCATTGTATTTAAAAATATGTTGAGAAAAGCTACAAAGAGGGTAGAAGCGAAGGGAGAAAAAGAGATGGGGTAGGAGGATAGTGAAGATTAATTGTTATCTACAATCTTACTTTGCACTGGTCCAGAAGAGTGTCGATAGGGCAACCATGGGTCACTACCGAATGGGGTATCCGATATTTAGCTTGGATAGAAGCGTTGCGTGAGTGTTGGGCGTGTGTATGAATCCGCCCCTTGAACAGTCCGTTTTTTACCGCTGTTATTTTCAAGGGGAGGAAGGAGTTGGCTGACGCAGGCGATAACAAGGTCTCTCTCACCACGACGGGTTACTGTGGGTGTGATGGATATTGTTGCTTCTGTACGTTGCTTGGTTCGTTCCCGAGAAAATGATAATGGGATTGTGGCCTGACGGTTTGAAGTGTCGAGTACGAGGCACTACCTATAGCAATAAAAATGTATGAGATCGACGTTTGCGCTTTCTGATGGTGCATACGAGATGCGGACTCAGGGTGTCAGAGGCCTATGATGGGGTCAGGACGGGTATATGGTACAGTATGGAGCGATAGGCTAGATATGAACAGGATAGTGACAACGATAGTCCTGTTGTGCAATAACAAATGGCGATCATAAAATGGGCCGTGAGACAGAAAAACAAAACGACGGAGGCAATGAAACAAATGGAGGTGTAGCCTCCTCGCACCTCCTGGAAGACGTCCTTTCTTTTTATACCAAGAAAAGAGATAAACCCGAAAGCACAAAAACGGCATCCGGAGTAAACAAAAATATCAATGGTGGTTTGTAACCGGAAACTGAAATAAAAAGGTTTAAATGTACCCAAAAGCTGAGGTGCAATAAGGTTCCTCATTCCTTTTCAACAAACATATTGCGTGGAAACTAGCAGTAAAGATATCGCTGTGGTAGAGGAAGCGATGTTGAGAATGAAAAGCTGTACACATGGGTTAGGAGCCAGAATGAGTCGTGAGGGAAACGGGTTCGATGCTGCATGTAGAAGAGGTAGTAGCTAGATACTGTACTTATACTGCGACTCCATCCGTCCCCTTTCCATTGATAACCAACGATCATATCACATAAGCCCGAAGGAGTGAGACGCGTGCTCACAGCAAGGTACCACTCAAAAAAAAGGAGTGAGCATGGAGACGAACAAACAGAGAAGATCCAAAAACTTAAAACAGACCAAGCAAGGATCGCCCTCAACAGCACAAAGACGAAAAGTGGCACACACGGGTACTAGCAAACAAAAAATAAGCAGATACCCAGGCTAGAGAGGAAGGTAAAAGCACATACACACACACAAAAAAAAAAAAAAAAAAAAGGAGTCGAGGTAAGGCGTGAGAGCAAAAAGGAAAAACTCAAAGATAGCCCATAGCCTTCGTTGTATCACAAGAAGTTTTACCGCCCAAGAAGGCGCAAAGCTGCACGCCTCTGTTCTTGGAGTAAGAAGCGAGCGCCCAAGGAAGATAAGGCACCCAGGCATGGCACCATGATCCGTCTGTGCTTAGATCGAGATTGTTATCACCCGATTGGTCGATGAATTGGTATATTCGGAAGAGTAAAAACTGGGTCCTCGAGCACTCACCTTGAATGAGCAGATCGGTGCGAGAATAAGGTCGTTGGAGATCGTGAAAGAAGAGTTGGGAAGTCGTTATAGCAGCTTGATCACTGAAATAGGGCGTGAATAGATGACGTGACAGAAAAAGATGCGTCAAGGCGATAGAGGCGTGGACAACGCGGTAGTGAGAAAATGTGAGGTGCAGGCTGTGAAATGAAGATTGCTGTGATGGATAAGAGTTCTAGTATTACTGAAGAAATAGCGCGTGTAGTGATGCCAGGAGGATAGCGATAGTGTTTGTGATGCTGTATGGCAAATAAGAGAGAGAGGACCCGAAATATGTATCAGCGTCGATGATCGAATACTGAAGATGGAAGAGGAAGGATGAACTCGAAGCGGAATATGGAAGGCCAGTCCAGCTGTACCAGATGCTAAAAAAGAAAGGAAAGGAATGAAGAGGCAAGGCCTATGGGGAGAAGTGCGAGTGCCGACAGAAAAGGCGGAAAAGAGAAATAAAGGGGAGCCACAGGCGCTAGGTTCAGACAGGTACTCGGCCGGGTACCAAGGGATGCTGCGAGAAACCAAGGCAAGAAATGCGTTTTTCGTCTTCGCTACCATCAGAACTTCCCATCCATTCACTTTGCGCCATGCCATTAAGAAATAGATGAAAAAAGCGCACAAGGGGAAGAAACAAAAGGAGAGTCATCTCAAAAAGAGCCTTGTCAAGCCTAATGGTCTCTTTCCTTCTTCTTTATTACCCTACACATGCACACGGACGCGGACGTTTGAGTGCTCCGTGGTCTCTGCAAACTTTCTACTTTTCCCGCCCTTGGCCTTTGTGTAACAACAGCGCTCAGTCCGTGACAATTACGTAGCACTGAACAACCCGTCCATCCAGGACCTCGATCCTCCCTATCCTCTCTACACAACTCCAACAGCGACTTCAACTACAATTGCAATTACTACCAAACCGAGCGAGCAGCAGTTCAGTCTGCCCAACGCCTTTTGGTGCAAACCCACATCACTCTTTTGCTGCTCACTTGACGATTATCCGTATGTGCTTTATTTTGTTTTTGTTTTCTGCGGGGTTGATTTGATAACGAAGGGTGACAAGAAGGGGCACGGACATTCATGCACACTTCGCATCTGCTGCGCCCAAGAGGAATCATTCAATCCCATCCCAGTCGAACCTTTGTCTCCCTTCCAAACCCTGGAACGTTCTTCGCGGCATAAACAATCATTCGAAGAATATCGTCTGACGCTAGGCAACAAGGAGATAGCGGTGCACGACCCTTTTATTGTTTTCTACCTAAAATTGTGCAACTCATCGAAGTCGTCCCGGCAGATGCTCCTTTTCGTCCACAGCTCTTGTTTCACTGCGATTGCTCGTACCGTCGCCTAGCCAGCTCCTTTGCGGATTCTGCATAGTTGCCTAGCGGCCCTCTGATCTCGTTGGCGCCGTCAGCTTTGCGAACGAGCCCTGCCCCGATACCGACACCTTTGGAGTATCCACTCGCCTCAATTGGCGCCTTGATTCCTTCACCATCCTTACCCAAGCCCTGGCCTTCCTTCCACCCCATGGATTTCAACAGCCGGTTGCCAATGTTGTCCTCCTTGATACCATCCTTGGTCGGTTGCTCTGGTATAATCATTTCATGGTCCCCATAACCGCCTTTGTCATGACCGACATATCGACCTGCACCACCACGTCCGCCGTACTCTCTGCCAGCGGGTGTAGGCGGTAATGGATAATCAGGTTGGCCAAAGATTTGTCTTCTCTCAGCAGCTCGGTCGCGATACTTTGGCTCCTCCTCTGTCTTTTGCGGCAATACATTCACAGAAAAGCTGCTTACTGCACTTGATGTAGAGCTTTTAGTTGATGTTTCTTGCTGTTGTGCGCTGGACGACGATGCTCCTCTGCTCTTCTTCAGCGCTGCCTGGATTGCCTGAGGATCCTGAAGGTTCTTCTTGTGCAGTTCAGAGAGAGCTTGGTGTTTGCGTAGGTCTTCAACACTCTTCAGTCGACGCTGACAGAGCAGACACGCGGTCAAGACAAAATCCAGTAGTTCATCGGGCTCATAACTCGGATTTTGCTCATCCAGTGGCCTAGTAGTTTGCACTGTTGCTTTGACCGGCTCTGGCTCTGGTGCTTGAGAAGTCACCTCGCTTGATTGCAGCTCTACTTGCTTATTCGACCACTTCTGCAGTTGTATCGATACCTATGGCATCATGCAGTGGAGCGAACACGAATGAGTATTATGGGCATCTTTTCATCAGGGACATCACAGGAACAATATGCATAAACGGCAAATCCTATTGTACCTTCTTTCCTCCGCCTCCGATCCCGATAGAGGACTGTCCAGCTTTGCGCTTCTTTTCTTCGACCTTTGCGAGCTGCTCTGCTGCCTGTGCAGCAGCAATACCCGCAAGTTGAACCTTATCCATCTTTGCTGTCGTAGGTAAAGTAGGCAGATCCTGAATCACAGGTACCGGCGCTAGTGCTGGTGTGGGTGTTGGTGCTGGTGTGACTTTTGTGGTAGGGACTGAGAAAACTGAGGCATCCGCTCCAGATACTGGTCCTGAGTTTAGCACATTACCCATGGCAGCATAAAATGCGTCCAGTTCGTCTGTGGGGGTTGGTTTTGGAGGCGCTTTCTCAGCCACTGAAGAAATTCGTCAAGTTTTTGGCGGCGCGTTAATCCAGATGGACCGGCCATACGGTTGACATGCACCAGAAGCCAATTGTAAGACCAGTACATTACCATATACGGCTGCTCGCTTGGATGCAGTTGCTGTCGCTGCTGACGGGTTCACATAGACTGAGAGGAACGCCTGTTCATCCCAATAGATAGCCAGTTTGCCTTCATCTCCCAATGTGATAGTCCATTGTGTTGGGGCATAGGCCGGGATAAATGATCCATGATGAGCATAATGAACCTCGACTGGCTTGGTTTGAATTGTGAAGTTATCAGAGTTCGACTTTTCCAAAGCACGCGTGGCGCTCTAAAGTTGAGGAAACAATCGCTGGTCAGGAACATCAGCGCATGTGTAAAGATATCGATCTATTACTCTGCCAACAAGAGGTAAAAGTTACCGCAACATCAGAGTATTCCGCAAAGCAGAAGCCCCAGCTGATCCGAGATTGCCTGTCTTTAGCCAGCATAATCCGGACAAGGGGTCCCAACAATGACAAAGCGTTCCAGATCCCAGACTCATTGACCATGGGCGGTAAGTTGGTCACAACCAGGATGGAGTTGGGGACTGATCCGACATCGCGCTCGCCTGTGTTCAGAACAGGCTGTTGGGCGGGATAATTGAGAGGATATGCCTGGGAAGGATACGCCCTGTGGTGCTGGTTTTGGAAATCTACATGGGACCCTGCTGCGGCCGCTTGGCCTCTCCAGGTTTGATCATCGAATTGGCTGCCGCCTGGGAAAATGAATAGCACATTCATGGTAAAATCGGCGGGATATAGAACAAACGGTCCAATCCGTGAGTACGAGAATCGGCGGGAAACGTTGGCAGATATCCAAGGAAGCATTTGGCGCAGGTAAAATATGGTCAGAATCAGGATTCTTGCAGTTCAAATCAGGTGCAAAGGCATAATTGCTGTGGTTCGAGGGAAGGCTGGGCTGCAATATATTGGGGGCAGTTGAATGGAAATTCGTAGCGATGAGTCCAAGCGACTGTCAAACCTTGCGCGCTTGACAAAAACTGATGGCAGCTCTCATGATGACCATCGTTCATTCCACACTATCAGAAAGTCGTTCAAATGAAATGCAGGGTTAGAACTAGCACCGATGAATTTACTGGCATATCCACCCAGTATAATATTCATGTCTTATTACCTCAGGGCAACGACGCTGTATGTCTCGTGAACCGCTGGGGTTGTTACTGTACGCAACTCTGACCAAATTCTGGCCGATTTTGACCGAAGGCGAGACCTTCTTCATGAAATCCTGCGCATGTTGCAGCGTAAGGAACTTTAAGAAGCCAAATCCCCTTGATTCACCTGCGGAAGAAAATAGAATATAGACATCAGGTCATGGAAATGCTTCTACACAGCGGCGTCAGCAATAAAGTAGAAACGTGGATGCTACCGGTGCGTCGATCGCGAGCCAATCGAACGGCCTCCAGCCCAATGTCATCCTGCTCAATAATGGCTCGAATCTGCAAAAAATAGGCAGGGATGTGTTTGAGAATCAGTAATCCACATTCATCACTGCAATGCACATCTTTTCACTATCAGGGACTCAGCAACACCCAATGTCCTTACATCGTCCTCCTGACAATTCGGGGGCAATCCCTGCAAGATGATTTCAAGTTGCGGATCTCCTTGCGCGCGATCGTTCTATGGAATATCGGGTTCATGGCATTAGAAACCTCCGATGACACTGCTAGGCCCTCAGTTAAGCTAAGGTAAACAATAGTACGGTATGCTTACCTCGCCTCTGCGCCAGTTTGACTGTTGGCGTTGGCGTCCATTACTGTCGTGACCCGAGCTAGACTGCCAGCCTCTATGCTGGTTTCTATCAGACCGGCTGGGGTAGTCTCTGTCCGAGGATCTCGCCTCATAACCAGCATCTCTGTCCCTGTCTCTTTCTCTGACTCTGTCTTTATCCCTATCCCACTCCCTATCCCGCTCTCTTTCGCGCTGTAGTCTATGAGGCGACTTGTCTGAGCTGGAGCCCTTATAGGAGTTGTGCTCGCGGTGCGGGCTTTGACTTCCTCCTCGACTCCTGCTGCTGGTTTCTGAGCCATCATGACGGCTGGAGGGATAACGAGAGTCCCTGTCCCTGCTTCTGCTTCTAATGCTGCTGCGGCTCCGGTCCCTGCTTCGACTTCTGCTTCTCCTGCGGCCTGCTGCTAAGTCCTGTTCTTGCATGGCGGTTTAAGTAGGTTGGAGAGTCGATGGAGGTGATTCGAGGGGAGCATCTTTGCATTCCGTCCAAAAAGAACGTGCTGTGACTGGCTGGTTCAATTGACGTACCAGAACGTCTTTTCGGGAGTCGTTTAGGCGCACCGAGTAGACTACCAACAATAGACGTGCTTGTACCTGCAACTGTAAGGCAGGAATGGCCCCCAATGCCGTCATCGTGCAGGCGGTAGTCTGAAGGCGCGCGCGTTCCAAGGAAAAAGGTTTCTGCAATCGAGACTAAGAGACTTAGCCTACTATCACGAACTAGGAGGAGCAGCCCACAGGACGTCCGAAGCATTGTCTCATCCGAGAGACAACCTTTCCTTGAGTTTCAAGTGGATGTGGAAGACCAGGAACGGCGGCCAAGGTTTAGGGGGCGGCTGATCCCGCGTATGAACTCTGGCCGTTCTGGATGCAGCGGGCTTCTCTTCTGTCTAGTCTTCTTACTGCACACCGCCACGGCGTTAATGGGAGTGGCTCCTCTGATCAAGGAAGATTCTCTTACTAGAGCCGATGATGGCAATGGCGATGCCAATGCGTTCTCTCTTTCTGGATGAAGAGAGCTGAACAGTGCCACACCGCGGCGGCTCACATCCACACCAACTGCCGCAGACTGCTCCCACGCACGTTTGTATTATACAATATCGGTCGTCTACAATGCTCACGATGTGGTCATGATCCTGCCATGCTGCAGCTTTATCCGTGCGAGTAGACTATTCTCCTCGACTTTACTGTTCACAAAGGCGCAAGAAAAAAAACCATACTGTTAAAAATAGGCCGGATTCCCGCTGCGCCTGGACAGAGACTGGAAGTACCGTCACCATAGTCCCCCTAACTGGGTGGACTTATCTATTTGGTACGCACGACGTAGTTTCTTTTTGGTAGCGTGTCTCCCCTGAAGTCAGCAACCGGCTGGGAAAAATGAAGAGAACTAGTGGAAGAAGCATTCCTTTGCCAGTAAAAGCCGAAGGCCTGGGGTGGTCAATCCCTATGTGGGAGGGGAGCATCGTTCACGAGCCTAAAGGCCGGTAACACGAAAAAGCGTCAGGAGTGAGAGTTGCCCCAAAAAAGAAAAAGTGCATGATTGCGCCCATGCAGGTTTTTTTCTTCCCATTCAGCCCGGACTTGATAGTCAGCTCTTCCGTACGCTGCATGTGGATAAGTCTCACCCCTGCTCTTCATTTTTTGCATCAGCTCTTCTGGATCATAGATCTCGGCCATTTGGGCAAAGTTCGCATTGCTAGCTGTTTTGCTCTGCAAAGCAATTGGAAGAGACCAAGACAGGACAAAGAGAGACACAAGGGAATGAGAGGCAGGGGATAATTTGGGGCGCAATCAGGGATTGGACACCTTTGACCGCGGAATGTATTAGGGGATAAATATAGGCACTGCCATTCTATTTTCTGGCACAACACAAACAAATAGGAGTGACGACGGCAGGATAAAGACTTCAACAGGATGTTGGTCATTCAGTCGGCCCAGTCAGTCGAAGACAGCCAGCCAGGTCAGAAGCACAGATACACGCCCTCTGCGCTCTGCCCGCCATATCTGCCTCAGAACCATATATAAAGCAGTGCGCATGGCCCTCGTTTTCCCTCTTTCAGCTACTCTTTTCATCTCATCGCCCCCTTCAACACGCATTGTAACTATAGCAACCGCTCTCAGCTGCGAAACCCCAATTGGTCCTTTTGCCATCTTTCTCATTGGGGCCCAGGCACAGCTCCAGACCTCCCTCGACTTCCTCGGAACTATCTTTCATATCTCGCTTTCATACCCTTCCCCGGCATTTTGCACCCCGCTGCCCATTTGACATCCTCATCCACTATATAATCCTCACTTCGTCCTTTGTTCTTCTTTTTTCAGTCGACTTCGATTCCCCATACAAGACCAACTAACGCACTCCCCTCCGTAACGAGCTTCTCACACCTTTAACTCATATCACACTTTCAAAAATGTCCAGACATCACTTCACAATCGCCCTCTTCTTCACCCTCCTCGCCATCCTCGCCACCATCTCTTCCGCCCTCCCTGCCCCCCAATCCCTCAAACCGCAGCCCTTCCGCTTCACCGTCAGTTCTCCTGAACTCGACGCCGTCTGGCTCGTTAACTCCCTTCCAACCGTCTCCTGGGACGCCACTCAGATGCCTGAGGGCTCAACCCTCGACATTGCCCTCCTCCATCACGCCAAAAAAGAATCTATCCTCCTCCGCCGCTATGTCCCCGCTCGCCGGGCCTCGATCCCCGTCAACCTCCGCCCTGAGATCGTCCCCGGTACCTATTCTTTGCTTCTCACGGTCTACAACGGCCGCACTTCATCCGTCATTGGTCGTTCGCTCGTCCAGAGCCTGATCCTTGTCTCTGATGAGTCCGTTGACCCCGAGCAGGAGATCTTGAGTCCTTCTAAATCTGAAGCTTATAACAACAGTCTGAACGTGGTCCAGGAATCCGAGCTCGTCAGGCTGACCCACCAGCCCATGCGTGGAACTCTCGTCCTCAGCGCGCCTTATACCCTCGGATGGACAATCCCCAAGGCTTTGGAAGGCGAGCGACATGTGCGCGTGAACATCCTGCTGGTCTCTCCCGAGGATGAGGTCGTGAGGACGTTGGCAACGAACATTGACGCCAAGGTTGGATTCATCTATGTGCTCCTGCCAAAGGATATTCCCCTGACGAAGTACCAGATCAAGGTTGAGATCATTGGCAGCGGCAGAAAGTTCTTGGGATACACACTCTCGTTCCAAACGACCCTGCCTGCCTTCTCCGCCAGGACGTGAACAAGATCTTGCCTGGTTTATTTAACGAGTTCATGACTGGATGATACACGCGATCTCCTGTATATTACTTTGCTCGTTCTTCTTCACTGCGTCCGTTCATCCGATCGCCCATTGCTTTTATTTTTTTATTTTCATCATCTCATCTAAAAATTGTATCATAGCATATTCCTCCTCTCTCTTTTCTCTTACTATCAATGTAAAACAGCATCATAAAATAAAAAAATAAAAGTCCTCTCACAAACAAACAAAGCAAAAATGTCGGTTCCTGCTCTTTTTTTTTTTTTTTTTGCCACTGGAGTGGAAAGTGCTCATTTTGCAGAGCAACTGTGTCTCGACCACGCGGCATGACATGGTCTTAGGCACACAGTTCACAGTTCATGAAGAGTGATATGAACAGCTCACACAGGTACTGTCACACTGTCACACTGCCACATTGCCACACACATCTCCTCCGACTGCAAAACAAGAGGGTTCATTCAACACATATCATCTTATAATCCTACAATCCTGCCATCTGAACTCAATGGAGTCCTCAGTGATGTTGCAGAGCCGGGGGGATAGCATTTTTTTTTTTGTCGCGTACATGTACAATCTTATTATCGTTAGTGGACCGCAGCGTCGGTCCAGATTCGGATTCTAGCCCTCCGATTCGATTCTAGCCCCCGGTTCGATCTCGCTTGTCCAGTTGGACCGCTCACCAAGCCTTGTGAGAGCCCGATTGATCTATCTTGAGAGCCACACTCCCTTTTCTCCTTTTCTCCTCAGCTCGGATACCGAGCTTATCACTGGCACATCGCGCCGCGGAAGTTCGTCGTATTGTCCCATTCTATTTGTAGGCCTGCCCCATCTCTTTTTTTTTTTTGCACACATTTCTACGACCGAGGGATATCAATGGCAATACAAAAGACGAAACAATACGCGCGTTTATTATTGAACACATTATGAACAAACCCAAAGCAAAAATCCACTACTACCATAACATGACTGACTGACTGACTGACTGACTGACTGACTGCAAAAAAAAAAAAAAAACTGTTCTTGAACAACGTTGGTGTATGATACAGGTTGAAGAAATAAATGATGAGGAGAAAAATAGCCACGTATGATGGTTAAGTTAAAACGAAAGAAGGATATGTCCTTTACGCGGATCGCTTGACGGAACGCGACACTGAGTCGAACAGCTTCTCAATGTCAGGATCGATCCTGGTAAAGGCATGATCCCAGAATGCATAGCGTGGATTCTTGATCAGCTCAATAAACGTGATCAAAAGGCCCCAAGGGTGTGGACGATTCACAATCAGACGCTCCAGCAACACCCTAAAATAAATAAGTGACGTTGTCAGTGTGGGCATTGAATGATCACCATGTCCATTGCTGAGTCCTTGCATACCATCCAGCCCCATCTATTACCTTGTAATCTGCTCCTTGATCGTCTCCTGGTTGGCCTCGAAAAAGAGATAGAGTAGTACACGGCTGAAATAGTGCGTGTGCGAATTAGGGTATCTCAGCTGATTGGCAATCGCGCTCAAGAACAGGTATCGACCCTCAGAGTCCAGCTCCGTCAGCAGCTTCTGGAAGATATCCATTGATGCTGTCTGCGCAATCGGCGATGGCGACGACAATTCTGCCTCGGGTAACGACACAGACATGTTGCTGCTATCAGTGCTACTGTTTTCCTCCGATTTCGAGGCATGCAACTGTGCAATGCCGCTGATGCCGACGTACAGAACCAACGAGTTTATCATTGGAACATTGTACTTGGATCCACCAGAGTACAGATCCTGGTTGTTGTGATCGATCGCCAAGATCTCACGTAGGTTGTCGAGGAATGTTGCATGTTCGCGCGTTCTGAGATACATGTCAACGTCTCTCTTCAGGCTGACCGACAAGCTACTCGTGTAATCGGAAAGGACGCGTGGAGGCTGGTGAATTTCGGGCAACAGATCGACCTTCAGGTTCGGCGTGAAGGGGTCGGGCAGACGCATGTTGCGCGGAAACGCACTCAAGATCAAATTGCGTAGTTGGATACAGGTATTTGGGATCACATCACAAAAGCTGAAGTGATAGTCGCACAGGAACTCGGGGAAGTCGTGCAACAACACCAGAAGCACGCGAAGCGTACCCTTGTACAGAGCTCGAGTCGTGTCGCGCATCTCTCCTCCGATCAAGAACGGGGCTAAGAATCGGAAGAGGCAAACAAGCAGCTTCTGGAATGACGCCCATCCCTTGCCGTTCTCAGCCAGTAGCAGTTTGGGCATGAACGCGCGATGCGAGATCAGAGACAGCCAGCCGTACGTGAATCCAGGAAAGACAAGCGGCTGCAGTGTGTGGAAAGTGTTGCTAAAGGCTGTCAAAATCTGGAAATACATGCCAGGGCTCGACTCGTACGAGGTCATCATCTCTGTCAACAGGCCAGAGAACAGGCGAAGGAAAGGCTTCTGGTTGAATTGCCCACGACGTTGCTCATGGGCCTGGGCCAAGACCAGGACAATGATCGAGAGAAGCGTGGTAAGGTAGGTGACCTTTGCGCCGCTGTGATTCACGCCTTGGGGATCGGAGTAGTGCTTGACGAGGGTGACAATCAACTTGACAAAGGCATCGACGCCTTGGTATGCTGCCGCAGTGTTCGTAACTTTGTACTTGATGTAGCTCTCGACACTCATCTCCGTGCACACCCTAAAGAACAATGACGAAATCTCCTCGCCCTTCAAAACGCCCTGCTGCTGAATCGAGTTGATAAATGCTCCGTAATCCTTGTCATTCGAAGTCGGCAACTGGTACACGCGGATCCACTCCGCAAAGATGAAAGCCAACTGCTCGCGCAACACAGAGTTGTCCACATCCTTAGCAGTCTCGCGCGGGACTTGAGCACGCCTGCGAATGTCTTCGATCAGCAGAACAATTGGCTCCACAGTCTTGCCACCGCGCTGTGTCAAACGGTTGAGGACATTGAGCGAGTTGATGAATTCGTTGCGGCTGGCGCAGGGCTGCTCGCTCAAGACGCACTCCCGGATCAACTTGATAGTGTATTCGACCACTCCAGGACGACCAATCTCAATCAAACGAGCCAGCTGGATGTCTTGGTCCACCAAGCTCACCAATCCAGCTCTAATAAGGGTTACGGTGACTGGAACGTTGAACTTACGCTCGTCGTCGGCATATATAAGCCATTCAGTCACCTCCTTCGCCACTTTGCTTGAAAGAGCACATAGTTGCTCGAGCAGAACCGCATACACATCTCGCGACAGAACCTGGTCCGTCTTGTAAAGGAGTTGGACGATCTTTTGCGAGAACGTCAGTGCCGTCTCATCGGGGCTAAAGGACTGTGCCGGAATTAGGGGAACAAGACGAGCCAACACCTTGACCTCGTGATTAGGAGGGAGCGCGGTAAGTGGCATTGAAGGAGAAAGGCTGATCAACTTGTCGAGTTCGCTAATGATCTGAACAAACTTTTCCAAAGCCTGGTGGGCCGACAATGGAATAGGTGTGTTGTTGTACGTGAGCTCGTTGGTATGGAAGGGATACGCTTGGCCAGCATCGACCTTGGCGTTAAGAGGTGTGCGGACGCCTCTGTCAGCATCGAACACAGGAAGTATGGCTGCCTGACGTGGCAGACGTGCAAAGTCCTCGTAGACGCGCAACTGCTGAGGTGTAAGCCCCGCGGGTTTGATTCGAAGAGCCTCGGGAAGACTGGCAGGGTAACGGGAGGACTGATAAGTAGCCATGTCGTAGTAGGGCTGACCAGTACGTTCGCGGTGTTTCTTCCTGGCGCTGAAGGCGTTGGCAAGGCTTTCCTCTATCTCTGGAATGGCCTTCTCCATCGCGGCCTTCTCAATGACCGAGCAGGCGAGATCCAAGTTGTCGTTCACGGTCATCAGAATCGATTGCTCCGGCATGTTCTGGTCAGTAAATCCATTCTGAAGGAAGAGAGTGCGGATAATATTGGCCATGCTGACACGGAGAGGCTCCTTGCAAGTGACCAAAGCAAGACTGCCAGCAAGGTTCTGCACCATCAAGTGAGCCGCCTTGCGCATTTTCTCCTCGTTGGGCTCCATCGCAAAGTCCTTGATAACCATCTCACGGGTAGAGATGCCAGCGATTGTGACAGAGCGATCGACGACGGGAGCGACAATCTCACGAACAGCACGATCAATTGCAATGTGCACAAGACGCTTGAGCGCTGGACGTTCACTGTAGAAGGCAGGTGGATTGAAAGTCACAAATGCTGCCAGGTTGGGAACCATTTCCACCGAAGTATCCTGCTGGGTCGTTGTAGCTGTCGCAGGGACTGCAGCCTGGACAGGCATTCTAGCAGACGGGGCATAGCCACCCATCGAAAGGCGTTCAAAGTCCTGTGTAAGTGTTGCGGAGTGCCCCACTAACTCCTGGGGTGGTCTGTCCTTCAAAATACTTGTGGGCTCGATCTCCTTCAGGTCCAAGGTCAAGCTGTTGCAGAGAACCTCGATCTCGAACTTTAGGTGCAGCTTCAGGTCAGCAAATTGATAAAGCTCCACGAGAAGACGCATAATGGCCATCAGCCAAGGGTTGGGTGGCCTAAAGACCTTGCTCTTGTTGCATTGTTCCAGGACCTTGCAGACAAATGGAATGGCGACGATCAACCTGTTGCTGTCGTAGCCCTCGATCAGCAACTCCTTGAATGCAAGATTCTTGTGCTTGATCGGTCGGTTTCGAGCCAAAGTCATACCTCCGAGCCAGGATCCGAGGTTCTTGAGAAGTGTTCGGTCCGAGGATGATTGAACAGTCTTTTCCGAGTTGATCAAAATCTTGATGTTTGCATACGTCTCGTGCAGAATATGGCGGTAGAGCAAGGGACTCTGAAGTCCATCCAAGAACTGGAGATACAGGACGTGATAGTTGGGCTCGATACTTGCGCGTTTGACCACAATATAGTTGCTGAACCAGCGATAAGCACTTTCTCGAAGAAGCTCCTTCATCTCCGCCAACTTGGTATCAATGTTGGTTTGCGAGACATTGTTGACGATAAAGAGAATCTTGTCTTGTGTCTGCTCGTTTGGCGTCTCATAGTCAATGTCATCTCGTCCGACAAGCAGGGTGTCCACATTGAGAGAGGTGAAGACTGGAGGCGCAGCCGGTTGTGAGGATGCTATAGAGGTTTGCACTGGCGGGACGACCTGTCGCTGGGCCTCCTGGGCGGCTGGCTGCTGAGGGGGTGCTGAGGAGACCAAGTCCATCGATTGATTGGAACCGTCCTGCGCAGCGGCTGTTGCTGAAGGGAGTATCGAGTGGATGTAGCGCACGATCTCCGGGTGAACCTGTTGGAGATGTGAGATCTGCAAGAGATGAGAGCAGTAGGTGGGCCATTCCTGAAGACGGGATTGGAAGCGACTCAGGGCCTGCGCGCCAAAGTTGAACATCTTTGATCCTGGTGGGTTTCGCAAGGCATCCAACACATAGCGCAGGGCAATGCCAAGAGGAATATATGACACCAATTGGTGCTGAATCAACGCTCCGAACAGGTCGCTGGTAATTGACAGCTCCTTCTCGCGATAGGTAGAGAAGAAACGGTATTCGTCAAACAGGTCGTGGATCATGCACGCATAGATGTCCTGTTCACGAGGATCAGACGAGTTCTTGAACTGCTGCAACAGATCGACAATCTCTGGAATCGAAATATCGCCTCGATAGATGCGCTTGTAGTACTCGTTTGTTGTCTCCTCAACATCTGCAGAAAACGAGGTTTCCGTTCCAGTGGCGCCTCCTTCGATTGCTGGGGTGGCGTTGGCGAGTTGAGGGTGAAGCTGAAGACAGGCGCTGTGCACGCTCTTTAATACTGCCGAGTTTTCTGGCGAAATGGAGCTATAATGCGAATTAAACCCCATATGACTCGTTAGAGTGTATGTCTTGCATCTCGCTTCATAAGAAATAGCATTACGGGCCGGAAAATATACATACCTTCCAAGAAGGACCTGTAAAAAAACGGCAATTGTCTCCACTGGCAGTTCCTTATTTGCGGGAGCGTTCTGTCGTGAGTCATTGACAATCCTTTCACTAAGATAGTCCAAGCATGCCCTGACAAAAATGTCTTGACCAGCTTGGATTCGGTTCTGCAGCCACTTGTCCAGGGCCAGCAGGTTGCGGCTGGAAGCAAGTACGGCCAGATCAATTGCAAAAACGAACGACTTCACCTCGAGAACCTTGTTCAATATCTATATAACAAGAACCACAGGTTAAACAGCTGTAAGAAATTGAATGATGCACCATTATTGAATAGGAGGAACCCAAAAAAAATCATACCGAGAGATCCTCCGTGATCTTAAGGATCTTTGTTAACGACAACCGGTCATGATCGTAGAGATCTAACAATCCAGAGACGAAGAGGCCTTGGTTCACCTGCCAGAGGCGAGTTTGGACAAACTGGGGGATGATACCTGCCCCGGTCAGATAAACATGAAGCAGTTTGGAAACAAGATCCTGATGCAACGAGCTCCATGGGACCTTCAGCTGAACAAAACCGAGGAATAGCAGTTCTGTGTTCGACTTCAAGCCAGAGTCCAAAATAGGCTTGACATCGTCATGCACTTCATTGTCTGCGAGCGTCATCAGAGTCTCGACGAGGGGGATACAGTTCCAGACGCTGGACTCCAGCTCCACCGATGCGTGCGCTTGAACATCAGGACTCGCCTGAGAGAATTGATCCCGGGTAAAGATTCGAGGTGATACTGCCCACTCCTGCTCCAGCAACTTTACAGGGGCAGCGACGAGCTCTCTCAAAAGCGATATTTGTGCCTCAACATTATTCCATTGTCCCCAGAGGGCCTCCAGCGGGAAGAGACGTCCATTCTATATTGAAATCAGATAGGTTTGGAATAGTGGATGAGTATTTACCGACTAGCGTTTTCAAGGAACTGCATGTGGTAATAAGATAGACTGCACAAACGAACCTTCTCAGCAGTTCTGAACGCAGTGACGATAAACTCAAATCCGGCGGCATCAGTGACCCTGAAATCGGGATAATCCAAGGCGTGGATGACCCTGATCCAATCGACAGTATTTCTGTTCAATGCTGTGGCAAAGACCTTAAAGTCCCATGCGTTCTCGCTGCTGGGTCTTGCCTGTCTCGAGATCATCATTCCCAGCACACGTGCAATGTCTTGTTCGCCTGGTGCCTTTGAACTGTCGTATCCGGCTTGGCGCATAACATCATTCACGGACGACGCGTTTTTGCAGCAGGAGGGTCCTGCCTCTCGCATGGCCTTGGCCAAGGCTGCTGACTCTGAGTTGTCGTTCATGTCACTATAGTAAAGACGTATTATAATATGATGGGCTCCATGATGAGTAACCGAATAAAGACAAGTTGCTATCGATACGCCTCAATAGTCAAGAAATGTAGGGCATCACATACCGAATCTCCTTGATTGTTGCGGTAATGTTGTTGGGGATGTTGTTGTTGTAAAGGGTGTTTATGAGGGTAGTGACAGTATCGTTGGGCTCGTTCCAGAACTTGTAAATCGATGCGTCGAGTGATCGAACAAAGTCCAACAGTAGATCAGGGGATGAAAGCTGTTCCTTGAGAGAAACTGTATTCGACTGAATAACGCGTTCGGCTGATCGCGATACAAAACCACACAGCATAACAAAGCATCAGTACAAGCAAAGATTTCATCCATCGCAGGTCGGATCGCACAAAGACAAAATGCTACACACCTTGCGCGACGAGTTCAGGCTTAGGTGATTGTAGAACTGCGAGTCCTAGACGGATCTTCTCGACGGGCTCCAAAGGCAAATTCTTGATGAACGCCTCGAAATCAAAGCTCTTGATGACTTCGCTTTTTTCAGATGAGCTGATGGCTTCGCAGAAGAGAGAAGCGGAGGATTGAGTCTTGGTAAGGACCTGGAGCCGCTCAATAAGGAGCTTGTGGATGGATGAGTTGCTGCTTGCTTGTGATCCCTGTCCTGCTCGCCACGCTTGGACGAGACGCCTGATAAGATGCAGGTAGACCGGTTTACCGTTTTCTTCGATAAGCTGCGAATAAAAGTATCAGGCATTGAAGGAATATCGTGAGTATAATGGCTCCTTTTTCCAGCAAAAAAGACTTCGACAAACTCTTCTTTGTCCAAATGCTTACCGAGCGGATTTCACCGACACTTTTGGCGTACGTGTTCTCGGAAAGGGTCGAGAGAAGGACGGCAACCTGGGCCTTTACGATTGTCAGGAAACTGGACTTCCTGGAGGGGAGACTCAACCTGGACGAGGGTGGTATGGGTTGAATCGAGTTGGATGGTTTATCTTCAGAGCTCATGCTGAGAACAAGAGTACATGATGCGCACTCCAGGAGGGGGGAAGGTAAGATGGATGGAGATCAAGAAGAAATAGGAAAACAATATATAATAGACGTTTGAGGAGCGGCGTAGAGATGTATTTTGTATTAACAGAGAAGAAAACTCAAACTGCGAAGAGCAGGATCGGTGTGCAGAAGAATAGAAAGAGAAGGCGTTAATGACACAGCACTTTTCGAGTCAATGAAGAGATCCTCGGAATGGTCCACGTATCAGTCTAGGGATTCGATCAGCTTTCCTGCAATGAAAGCAACCACAGGGAACAGGGCGATGGGTTGGCAAGCAATGGCACATACACAACATACACGCGCAAACACAACGACTGAAAGGGAGGGAAGTGAAGGAAGAAGGAAGAAGGAAGAGAGGAAGGTGATGGCAGCGCCCCATTCGAACTGTCACGTCACGGAATCGCGGGGTCGCGCAAGACCTTCATTCAACGTCTTCGATCGCGACTGTCTCTATTTCTATCCCTATCCTTTTCTCGGCCATGATCCCTGTCCCTGTCCCTGTCCCTGTCCCTCTCTCTATATCTGTCCCCGTCTTTGTTCTTGCCCGACCTGTCTCTATCAGATCTGTCGCTTGAACGATCGCGCCTCCGCTCTCCTTCACCGTCGCGACCGTTTCTATGGCTTCTGTCGTCTCGTCCATCCCGGCTGCTCCGACTGTCTTTGTGCTCACGCCTCTGGTCTCGGTCACGATCATCTCTACTGTCTCTATTCCCACTATCACGGCTGTCCCTGCCTCTACTGTCACGACTACCCCGATCGTCTCGATTGTCCCTGTAGTTGCTCGTGCCTAACCGTCCTGTTGTGTGTCTCTCAGGAACCTTGATCGCCTGAGGTGTTCGTGACTCGCCTGGCTTGATGTACTTTTTGTTGATTGGCTCTGGTTCCTTTGGTTTCGCTCCCAAGCCCAGCAAAGCTGGTCGTCGATTGTATTCAATTCTAATCGCAGATAGTTAACCACCAAGGGTAGTCAGCGTGGCGGAGAAAGTGCAGCACAAGCAGATTAAGGGTGACAGATAAACACTTACGCTTCAGACCCCTTCATGTCACCATTCCATCCCATGCCACGCAATAAGGCAGCGCCAAATTCTTCCACAGGCACTTTTTCATAGTCTTCAAGAGTCGATTCGTCGGGAAGTTCCTCGAGATTTTTCTGAAATGCCTCCACGTCATCGATATTTTCTTGTCCGTGAACAACCAGTCTCCGCGCGTCCTCTGATCTTTCTCCAGATGTGGCTATTCATAGATAAGCATCAATAATACCACGGTCAGCTAAAGTGCAGTACGATGCAACTTGGATGCTCAGCAATGAAAATATGGAAGGAAAAAACCATCACCTTCAATAATCTTTCTGGCTGCTGCTTCATCCAACGTCTCCTCTTTCTGTTCCATCACGATGTCTTCTTTTACTTCCGTAATCGCCGTGAATGTTGAAGTGCTTGCATCGTCTGAGCCTAATTCCGTATGATGTTCGGCTTTGGTGCGCTTTATGATCTGGAGACCATATCTCACCTCTTTGACAGGTTCCTCTACGATATTCATCGGCTCCCTAAGACTTCCCTCCGGCATATATGTCTTTTTCCTCTTTGCCAAAACCTGTTGCCTCCAATCGGCGTTCTCTAGCTTAGGAATTATTAGCGGCTTCGCCTCCTCCTTTGGTACAAGACTGGGTATTGAAAAAAGAAGGAAAAACATCAGCATCAGATAATTGAGGATTACTTGCGTATCCTAGTCAGCATAGAGCAAGCATTCATGGCCCAAGGCTTACCTCTCTATCTTGTTGTCGTCCAAGCCAGCGATGAGTTCATCCTTTTGGGTGTCGCCTTCGTCCTCATTGTTTCCGAAGGCAGAAGCGGCGGATTTGTTAATGAGTGGAGCCTTTTTTTTGGCTAGGCTTAATCCTTTACCGACACTGAGTGATAACTTGAGAGGCGCTCCATTCCCATTAGTCGATGTTGGTGGTGGTGGTTCCTCGGCAGACATGGTGTAGGGAGCAAGTGAGCTTGTCGCTACAAAGTTGTCAGTCGTTCAAGGATCCAAATTGGGCAAAAGCGACCAAGCCACGAGCCGCCAGTGCTCATTTTCTCTTTTTGTCCACCCAGTTGCATTCAACTACACAGCACAGGACACCACCATGAGCTCAGTAACGAACGATCACTTGCGATCCAACTTGCACAGAGAGTTCGTCGAATCAGGAAAGCGTGAACAGTAAGACTCAGCAACACGAGGAAATTGTCTTTCAGTCTTCGAGTACGACGCTTTTGGACGATGCAAAGACCAAGATGAGGATTTGACTACAACCCCCGGTCCTCTTTCGCACCTTTTCACCTAGACTGGTAGACCTTTTGCGCGCGAAGCTGATCGAGTCTGGATGGCGGGATGATTTGAAGGTGTACACAAGAGGTACGGACAAGACAGAACTTGTAGCTTTGTCCTTCTGGACTCAATTGCTCAATTGACATATCATATCTTCCAACACGATAGAGAAAATCCAATCCAGGGAGAACACCATGACCGTCGACGAGATTATCAAGGAAGTCAGTCCACATGCTCGAGGTACAGTACGCATCACCTCCTTGAATTATCTTTTCGTGTCGCATTGGCGTTAGACTTACCGTTCCTATTTTTGGCCCTGCAGCTACCATTCCAGACAAGGTCAAAATGGAGCTCCTAACTCAGATCAGCGCGTTTATCGAGGACACCTTGTGATGAGTATGTGAAGGCGATTTTTTTTTTCCAAGCCGAACACAAGCGGCCGTTCGACGTATATGTTCCAAGTTCATCCGCAACTGCACGGCTGTGGAGAGAACTCTCAAGCCAATTGTAATATAGAATTCGATAAGTGGCACCGTCTCTTGCGCGCATGGCAGCATGGCCAAACGAGTCAGCATAATAATAAAAAACGATCGCGACTGTCACTTGGCGATGACCTCTGTGAATATCTGCTCAGCCCTAAAAACGAGCTGTGCTAGCACGATGGCCTTCGTGTTCATAGAACTAAGAACAAAGTGGTATGATATAGACTAATACACCGGCTGGATTTGGATATAGCCATAGTCCATAATCCATACGGACGCGCAGAGCAATACTTGTCATTTGTTCATGCGGTACCCATTATCCAGGTCCACTTTAACAATTTCACGTAAGCACGCCCTGTATGTACTTCAACACACAGAACACCATACCACCAAAGAAATGTACAAAAGATGCATTGTACGATCAGTAGTTGTGCGGCGTGTGTCTCGGTGAGAAGGGACCACAGAGATTTCAGATGTATAGAGCCTGGCGTAAAGCGTCTTGGTCCGGTGCGCGACGTCGGCTCTCAATTGCCTGCCCTTCCTTGTCTTAACTCATCTTTGTATGCTGGAAGAAAATGCCCTCTATACAACTGTCCCTCTGTGCAGTTGCCCCTCGCTACCGAATGTCAGTCTCTGCACAACAGAAAATTCTATTATCGGCGCATCAAGGTTCCCCATCCCCCCTGAACTGGGTTCTAGGATTTAATATCCGTTCTTGTTAAAAAGGAACCGCTTCTGGCCATTCTCTTTCTCTCCACCCTCCTCCTCGCCCTCATTCCTGACCTACCGCACCCTTGCCAAGATGCTCCCAACCATGAACGTGCGCTGATTGGCCATCCTTGCTGTGTTCGTCTGCTCTGCATTCGTTGTCTCTGCGTCCCCAGTTGCATACAAGAGGGCTTATTCCGACTTTGAGACGAACATCAATGGCAAAGAGAAGAAGGTCAGTGCAGAGCGTGGGGCTGACAAAAAAAAAAAAAAAAAGAACTTGTTCGCTAATCTGGGTTGTTGCATTTTTATTAGTGTCCCCACATGTGCAAGGGAGTCAAACCTGTGAACTCGACGGACTATCTTTGCGGCGACGCACGTCTTGGTCCCAAGAAGCTGCCAACTCTTTTCCCTCTCGATGATATAACTCATCCCCACGATCGCCTTGGCGGTCTCTGTGCTGCCGAATTCCTCCCCAAGTGGACCGTCAACGGCCAGTACACCTATCCTCCCAAGGATGGTTTTCAGCTCAACACCGCGGGCGAGCCCATCCAGGGCAATATGACCCTTCTCATTGGCACACTGGTCGACCACTTTGGAAGCGAATACGGATCCTATATGTCACCCGCTGAGGCTCCTTATCCACAGCGTGCCCTCCCATCCTCCAACCTAGGCACCCCACCAAATGATGATAGATACCCATATAACTACCATGTGTACAATGTTACCAAAGAATTCATCGTCATGGCTGGTCCAATTGCTCCGTGGTTTGGACAGCCTGGCCAAGGCGTACAATACCACACATACAGCAATATCATGAGTCTCATCAGTCAAGGCTTCCTCGTTCCCGTGCCACTTCGCTACAGCAAGCTGTTCTAACAGCTATGTTAATAGTGGATGGCATTGTATTAGAGAAGTCCATAATAATTATAATAATAAAGCACCATTAACACACTATTGTCTATGAATGTGGGTAACGGAGGTGGACGCGTTTGTGCAAACTACATCAAACGTACGAACTGTACGTAGACTTTTTTTTTTTTTTTTTTGTTGGGGAGAGCTTACTACAGCACTTTTGATACAAAGGAGATCATGACAAAGATGAAATACCTTCGCCCAACACCCACACAGCCTTTCCTTATGGGGAAGATGGTTAGACGACCCAAAAACCATACCCAATAGGCTATCTGCAGAGTCTCTGTTTCCGGAGTGGCCATTGATTTGGTTCCTGGGGCCGAAAATGATCCTGCATCGTGTCTACATGCTTAGAAACATGAAAATAAATCTTGTGTTGCCGAAAATAAGAAACACAAGAGATAAGGCTCTGTCCTTCATTACCGATGGTTGCTGGGGGGGATCTGAAGAGTGTATTGCTTTGCTAGGTATCTGAGCGCTCATGGCTTACAATGAACCTCGGAGACAGCGCCTGTTCGTCCATCTCGTGTCAATTGGAAGTAATTGGTAAGTGTTAAGTCATGCGAGGTTTTTGCCCGTGGCATTCTATCATCAGTTGGGACAATCTACGATCCACGCTACGGTCGACAAGTTCAAAGTGTGCATGGCGGGTGGGGCAGATGAACAGTAGAAGAAACCGAGGGACGAGGCTAGCCAGCGATCTGTCGGTTGTCGTTGACCCGAGGATGGATGTGTAAGGATTGTAATTTTGGGAAGAAGAGACTGCAACAGCAACTGTGGTATATATATGCCTGCTATATCTGATGGGGAGGAAGGCAACATGGGGCCATGGGGAGGGATACGATGCCCTTGTATGGCGCTGGCACTCTGGGCGACAATATGTGTATCCCTGATAGAGAGTACTGTATTTCGCCCAAACGTGAAATAACTGGCCGCCGATACGCTTTGCCCTAACTCAAAGTACTCAAAGTACTCTCGGTCTGCTCGGACCATATCTTTTTTGTCCCAACAACAACAAAAAGGCGTTGACATGTCTGGCTTATTATTAATTTTTTTTCTACCCTCCAAAAGCATACCCAAAAGTATCTTTTCGTTGTCCCTCATAAATGGGAATACGATCTGCCAACAATTCTTTCTTCTCCACCACTCCCTCTTCTGATTCTTCTTCTCCTCCTCTCCTCTCTTCTCTTCTTGCGTTCTTATACCCGCTCATCTCTTGAAACAGCAATCGCAGCCTCTTCTTCCCTTCACACCAACACCACAGCTGCTAACATGGAGTCAGGACCAATGCCCGCCGGAGTCCCCTTCCCCGAATACTATGACTTCTTCATGGACTGGAAGACGCCCCTTGCCATTGCTGCCACCTACACTGTCTGCGTCAGCCTCTTCAACCCCAAGGTCGGCAAGGTCTCTCGTGTCGTCGCAAAGTCCTCGAACGCCAAGGCTACCGAGAAGACCGAGTCTGGTGCTGCCATGACCGCCTTTGTCTTTGTCCACAACGTGATCCTCTGCGTCTACTCGGCCATCACTTTCTACAACATGTTCCCTGCCGTCGTCAACAACTTTAGGACCCACAAGTTGCACGATGCTGTAAGTATCTCCTCAGACTGATGAGGTCTTCAAAGAAGCGAGGGAAAGGAGGGTTTTATTTTTGTTTGTTTTTTATTTTTTTAAAAACAAGACCCTGGTGGGGAGGGGGGATGGGGTGGGGTGGAAGTTGTTTGCTTAAGCGAATGGCGACCAAGAGCGAGTTCCCGACAGTAATCTGAACTCAGGAACGAAAGAACAACCAACCTGGACTGTTTCGAACACAGTGGAGAGCACGAGGGTGGGAAATGCCTTGGCGTCCTTCATTCTTTGCCCGTTCGAGTCAAGAGAGTTCAGATCAGCGGGAAACAAAGCAGCACCCTTTTTCTTTTTTGCTCTGTTTCCCCAAGGGATTAGAAAAGTGGACACAGCATCAAACAAACAAAACGTGGTTAGGGAACACATTATTTTGGGGACAAAGGAACGAACCAATGCCGATCCTAATGTTACTTTATCTTATCTTTGAACGCATTTCTTTGATCTAGTACTGCGACACCGACAAGAGTCTGTGGAACAACGGCCTCGGCTACTGGGGCTACCTCTTCTACCTCTCCAAGTTTTACGAAGTCATCGACACCATCATCATCATCCTCAAGGGCCGCCGCTCTTCCCTCCTCCAGACCTATCACCATGCCGGCGCCATGATCACCATGTGGTCCGGCATTAACTACCAGGCCACACCCATCTGGATCTTCGTCGTCTTCAACTCTTTCATCCACACTGTCATGTACTGCTACTACGCCTGCACCTCCATCGGCCTCCATCCCCCCGGCAAGAAGTATCTCACCTCCATGCAGATCACCCAGTTCCTCGTCGGTACCACCATCGCCATCTCCTATCTCTTTGTTCCCGGCTGCATCCGCACCCCCGGTGCCCAGATGGCTGTCTGGATCAATGTCGGATACCTCTTCCCTCTCACCTACCTCTTTGTCGACTTTGCCAAGAAGACCTACTCCAAGCGCAGCGCTATCGCTGCCCAGAAGAAGGCCCAGTAGAGCGGCTTACAGAATACCTCTTCTCTCTGTTCATCTCTTCACATACATAACCCATATTCTCCACAGTGCATGCAGGCATACATGATATCCTTCCTAGTTTCTTCGCTCATCAACATCACTTGTATCAATAAATATCCTCAACATCCTTGCTATTCGCGCATTGTTTGCTCCTGCACCTTGGATGCCAACATGAGTGCCTTGGTACACTTTTACGATCGTTTATTTGTTCCGTTGGCTTGACAGGTTAACGATGGCTGCTTCTCTGGGCAGTCTTTGTCTTGTAGGCACTTTCAAAGGATGCGATGGCTCGCAGCATCAGGACTACTTCAGGACTATTATCACATGAAAAAGTTCACGACGCAGAAACGTATTATCAGCAAATGATTCAACAAGAATACTGGCAAGCGGCAGAAAATAAGAATGACATACCTTTGAACATCCTCAGAAACTGAACTGGCATTGTGGACCGAAACGCGAGAAAAAAATTCATGCAGCAGATTGAGCAACCGTGGGAATCCGTCAATGAAGGCCTGGTGCAGAAATTGTGATGCTAATGCAATATAACAAAAAAAAAAAAAGGCGTTCGTTAGTGTTACACCCATACTGCTGTATACCGGCGCTCTTGCTGGCACAGCACATTGCATTGTCTCGTAGGGCTTACATCTGGCTGCAGCTTTGAGTTCTTGCTCGAGATGCACTGATAATGACTGCCAGAAGCGGTGAACCATGTTTCCATCCATGCTGTTGGATGCAATCTCGAGGAAAGAAATCTGGGTCAACGGATCCCTCTTTCGTGCAAGCACTCGTTCTAGCAAGTAAATCTAAATTCGCAAAGGTCGATCAATGCTATCCCTGTCCAACCGATCGAAGGCTATGAGAGCAATAAAAGGCCAGGTTTACCTTGATACATCCATTATACATTTCATCCATCAGTTTCTCCATGCGTTTCCAGAGGATTGAAGTCCACAAGGCTGCCGCTCCTACACTGGGTTCTCCATTGTTACGTCGAACGCCCCCTCCCACAAACCCTGTAGTATTGCTCATTCCTGACTCCAATTGGATTAAACAAAAAGTAGCATTAGTAAGTGTACAATGAGATGGCGACTCACACATATACTTGGACCATCAAGGATGCCTTCCCACAGCAATTCCTGTACCTTTGGCTTCCTTCTGTAAGGACTGGATATCGACCGCCTGCTTGATCTGCGAGTGCAGTCGATTGGATAATAAAGAGGTCATGGCCACGATCTTGAGGTCTAGTCTCTTGAGTGAATAAAACACCTGGAGGGCCGATCCAACTTGGGCTTGGTTTTGTGCGTCCATGCCCTCCTGAAGCATGCGGTCTGCAGAATCGACAATCCTTCCTCTGACAGTTTCCAAGTTCTTGATCTCATTGTCCACGACGTGGATGCCCTCCAAATCTGATTCCTGTAACAGTGCATCTATGCATAGCAAATTTTATGCTATGGCTTTAGTGTTTGGTAGTGGTTGGTAATGCGCGCACTATCCACACGATCGTCTACAAGGAGACACGTACCGACTTCGCTCAGTGTCAGCGCCGCCTTTGTGAGTTCTAAATCACCTCCTGGCATCTGCATCTCCAGCCGCTTGCTTAGGTATAAGAATCTTAATACCCTCCGCAATACCTCCGAGGTCACTTGCAAGCGCTCCAGTTGAATAGTATATGTTTGTATTTGTTCAAATGGCGTTTTGATTTTGAAAGATAGTCGGTCCATGAAAGCGGTGAGCGTCCTCAGTCCAAGTTTGACGGTCTCGAGAACGGTCTCGAGTTCCCGGATTCCTGCTGCTTGGCTGAGTAGGTCATTGTAATGTGTCGTCACCTATCCATTGTTCAAAACGATTTGCGAGCGAGAATGAGGTCCATTGCGCTATTGCAATCAATTGCTCATTTCTGTGTGGTTCTTTAGGATAATAGTACCGACTGACAGAAAGGTGGTACGTTACCTGATCATGAAGCTGCTTGTTGAGACTGTCGATGCTGAACGAAAGACTAGAGAGCGATGTGGCGATATCGAGCTCTCCTTTGGCGGACTGATGGATGATTGAGTTCGCATGGGTATTGGGATCAAATTGGTCGACCAAGAAGGAGTCATAGTCTGCATAGACATGATAAGCGTCGGAGAATGTTAGTACGTGCTGGTGTCCTGTGAGCTGTGCCGTCAAGACCCTGATGAGGAAATGAATGTAAAGAGACAGGTACCGGTATAAGAGTCGAGTTCAGGGATTGCTGTCGCCATGGTCATCGGTCCTGTTTCTCGCCGCCCTTTTGTAGATGGCCCTGGTGTCCTGGTGTCCTGTTCAAAAGGTGGTCAAGCAGCTGGGCATGAATGGGTGTCGAGATGAAGGGACCGCGCGACCTTTCCAGGAGTGGACGTGACTGGATGCCCCAAAGCCACACTGCCCAAGGAAGGAGTGGAAGGGGTGTTCCCTTTTTAAGAGAGGCCGTTCAGGATTCCTGCTCGCACTGCTCCGTCCCGATTCGACTTTCCTATTCGATCCTCTCTTCTCCCGTTCTTCATTCCAGATCAACCTTGACCAAAAGAAAGAGTTACGTGGGACCGCTCTTTCAATAACGATTCGCTCCTCTTGTGTCGTTACGAACTGATCTGGTTCAACGAACTGATCTAGGTCAACGAACATTCATATACCGATTCCACTTTTGCTCAACACCTCCCCTCCGTCTCAGCCAAAGTCGTGTTATTAGCCTCGACTACCATGCAGGCAAGCTGTCTGGCACAGCGGGGTCCCATGCGCCCACTAATCTTGGGCAGGACCCTTGCGCGCAACCATGCCGTCTCTGTCCAGCGAACAAGGTCTATCTTGCTTAACAAGAACGACATACAACCTCATGAGTAAAAATGATACTGTCGCTAATAATTATCTCGTCATTATCACTATGTGTAGTAAAAGACTTGAGGCTGACTTGATTTGTACGTTCATTCCTCTCTACAGTAAATATCATCGACTCTTCTCATCAATTGCAGGATATAATCGACCAACCAAAAAGCAGCTCCTCTGCAGACTAGCACCAGGTCTGTGGGTTTATAATAATGGAGGCATCTACGGAGGAGAGGCCGCGGTGGCAGTCAACCAAACAACACAGCAAGTGATCATGCAACGATCAGGCGCTAATCTGAACCCGTCCTCATTTGCGGGCGCTACACCCAGGGCAAGAGGCGTACACGAGATGATGGACCATTTGAGCGAACGGATGGTCAAGGGCACGGCGCAAATTTTGTCCAGACCTCAGCCCAGGACACGCCTACAGGAGCCAGGCCATCGAAGATTCACTCAGCCTAGTCAACAAAACCTCTTCCACGATTCCTTGCAGCATTCAGTTCACGCCAATCACTCATTATCGTCAGCATCTCACCACGCTCGACTGTATCGAACCTCATCAGCACAGACTAGATCGCTGGAGTGGACACGGGTCAAAGCAGTAAACCCTGTCGCATATGTCCGGACCAAGCTGGTACCCTCGTCCATCAGTCCGTACGCTCACAACGGATCAAAACGATCTTTCGCAACACAGGCAAGTAGCCAACACCCTCGCTCATCACCGTCGTCGTCACCCCAAAATGCCTTGGTGAAATGGACACCCCCAATTGGTCCTTTGGACAGGGTAGACCGGGCGAGGCTCCTGTCGGCAGCACCGAATTTTCTGGCTCGACTCAAGATCCGATTTAAGCTGCTCCTGATGCGTCAGATCCGTCCATGGCGTGTAGACGACTTTATCGCGATGTTCTCTTGGGCGTTCCTAGCGAACGTGGCCTTTGTTTTATTGGGAACCACGACATTCTTTAGTTTGGTACTCACGACTGCCAACAGCCTGCAATTCCAAGGTATGTTGTGGGTATGATTCTTGGGTTCAATGTTTATTTTATGCATCATGCTTCTGTCATTTTCATTTCAGGGGATATGCAGTTAGAGAAAAATGCACGTCACTTCTGGCTGTTTTGGGTGGTCTGTGTGTTCATTCACTGACCAAAAATTTTGTTGTTTTAGGGTTTGTGGCATCCAAGATTAGCGATTATCTTACCGCATCAACAGGAGTGAAGGTCAAGTTCGAGGCAGCTATTGTGCCTAATTGGAAGGACGGCCGCATCACTCTCAGAAACGTCGTCATGTCCAAGCGTGTAGAGGAACCATCTCAGAATCACCTCTTGAGCCATAAGGGCGAGGACCATTCAGGTCATGGACACGAACATGATCACGATGGAAGCGAGCACGGTGTTGCAACGGAAGAAGAAGTCGACACCAACTTTACAATGTTTGATCTGACCATCGACCAGATTGACGTCACGCTATCAGCCAAGCGGTGGCTCGATGGTAAGGGCCTCATTGAAGACGCTTCCATCAAGGGTGTTCGCGGAGTCATTGGTAAGATAATTCTTTTGTGTATTTATGGCTAAAAGAGATACAAATACACTGTTTGTACGCATGTCTAAACATGTTTATTTCCTCTTGATTTCATTAGACCGAACACATGTATGGTGGGATCCTGATGTCGAGTACATTCCAGAGGAGGCCAGAAGAAAGCACGTCACTGGCGACTTTGAGCTTGACTCACTGCAACTGGAGGATATGCTTGTGACAGTACTCCAACCCGATGATTTCAGGCCTTACACAGTCTCCATCTTCTCAGCCCAGTTCCCTTGCTTCCGCAAGCAATGGCTCTTCTATGACATGCTGTGCGCGGAATCGATGGTCGGCATGTTTGATGGCTGTCTCTTCAGCTGCTACACTGCACAGCGGGAGAGCACAGACAGCCAGACGGACATAAAATGGAAGCGTACCACGCGCTTCAAGATTGACGACGTTAAGATTGACCATTTGAACGCGGGAGTGGAGGGGCCTTTTGGCTGGATCTATTCTGGGACGGTCGACATCACATGCGACGTTAGGATACCGAACGAACCGCGGGAGGATGTGCTTCGCAAACTGGTGAACGATATTGTGGACAAGATTGACGAGGTGGTTGACTTCGCGCCATTGCCTCTGGTCTTTGGAACTGGTGCAATTGGTAGCAAGGAGATTGTCATGTACCCCAACAGGGCCGCGGCTGCATTGCATCAAAAGATGATGGAAGAAGAAGAGGAGCAACGGCGAAATTCACAGCGGCACGGGCAGGGACAGAATGCTGAAGAGGAGCACCATCACGTGTACCAGGCTAACAGTCATCAGTATCTTCAAAAACAGCAGCTGATTGAGCAGCAATTGAGGCAATACCAGCAACAGCAGGAACAGAACCAGCAACATTTGACGGAGCAACAACGCCAACAACACGAGAGGCACATGACCAAACTTGTTCCCATGAGGTTGAAGTCCAAGAAGCCCGCACTTGTGATGGATTTTGAGTTCCGGTTCAATAACGTCAAGGCTTCGGTTCCTCTTCAGACCGAAAGCATGTCGTATCTTTCGAATGCTGCAGTTCGTCCAATTGTCGCGTTCATGAACAGCAATCGAACAGAGATTCCTATCCGCTGCCGTCTCGAAATGGATCTCGTAAGTCAATTAGCATGCTTCAGCTTTTTTTTTTTTTTTCGTTTTATCAGCCGTGTTAAACATTCTAATATGCAATACCATTGGTTCAATATATAGTCCGAATTCAATGGATCGTGGACAGTATACGATTCGAACCTTATGAACAGCTTGTCCACTGAGCTCGGCAAGGCATGGGCCAGCCTTGTTGCGGACGAGAGGGAGAGGAACCGAAAGTTGAAACGTGTTGGTCTATGGGGCCTCCAGTCGATGACCAGAAATATTGTCAGCGTATACGACTATGCACGTGGCAACCGAGGCTTCTGGCATTACATTGGAGCTCAAACTGTCTAGACCCAGCACTGGCTCATCTTAGGCACCACCAAGCTTTCATTTATCATTTCTTTGCATGCATTGTTAGTGCCCTTTTTTTACTTGTTTATTTGTCATTCAATAGCAACATTGTACAATACATACCCGAAAATAGACATTGCCGTACATTGCCGCGCTGAAAAAATGTAAAGAGGATGAAGAAGAATAAACCATGCAAGACACCTGCGCAAGATCTATCCCTGAACAAAGGTGGCGACGATAAGAATCCAGATGTGTTCCTGAGAAACAGATGAAACGGGCCAATCGCATTCTTCGATCCAAAAACAAGGTTAAGTTCAGTCTTGTTCAGGGCAAATGGAACGTACCTGGGCGCGCATACGTACCAGTCGCTGCGCTTGTCATACTCATCTCAAGGGCGCAAATACAGTGTCGACTCTAAGAAATAGCGTACAGATAACTGCAATATGGAGTCAGTGTTGTTATATACTCGTTTTGTGCGGTACTCCTTCGCAGAGAATTGTTGCCTTAATCCCTCGCCTCGAGAGCCCTTACTTAGATGCTTCGGCTCCCATCGCCGGCTCACAACCCAAGATGAATTCAGCGCTATCATTGGGCAGACTGCAATTTTAGGTCCACATGTCTTCTGCTGTTCCTTTACCTCATGTCCCAAAGAGAGCTCACTATTTTTTTTTTTTCTCAGGAGTACATTTTTATTGTGCTCTCATCAAGCCTTTCCCTGAAATGGCGACGATGGTAATTTTGTGGCACCTGGAATGAAGAAATGGACAAAACTGGCATGCAGCGCTGTCCAGCTCGCCTCATCCTGCCCAATCTTCTCGATTGGCAAACTTATATTTATCCGGAAGCAAACAAACAAACCACTCATAGAAATGTTAACACTGAATGCGCTTAGACTATACTCGCTTACTCAACATAGACTACACCAGAGTGGCCATCTCACTTTCCCTGTAGCCTTGTTCTATCGGCACCCTCTCATCCCTTCATTTGCTAATACTTCTGCTCTCATAATCTTTCACCCTCTCGGGTGCGTGTTCACGGCGCCCTATGGCGTCCCATGGCTGCAATCGCGTGAGAACCAACGCACATCGGTGCCAACACGCCTGCAGATTATAAATACTCGTATGTACCCCACCATTTCTCTTTTTCTTTAGCCATTCAGGACTCTTCGCACCGCACACCTACCCTAATCCAATTCCCGCCTTCTCGCCCCTTCCTCCTTCCCCTCCCTCCACCTCTCGACTTCAACCCCTCACAGTCTTCTACAGACACTAGTCTTTACCTCTCATTATGAAGATCACCGCCATCCTCTCCGCCCTTGCCGCGGCTACCCTCGTCTCCGCCGGCAAGTTCCACTCTCTCAAGCCTGGCAAGACCAACATCATCAACAACGGCTTCATTATCGAATACCACGATGGTGTTAAGCACTCGGATGCTCATGACGCCCTCAAGTCCCACAATGTCAACTACAAGGTCCGCAACGAGTACAACGTCTTCAACGGAGCCGCCATCACTGTCGATTCCCAGCATGATGGCCGCGCTCTCTCCATGATCCCTGGAGTCAAGAATGTCTGGCATATCTCACTCTACGACATGCCCAAGGTCGAGAAGTCTAAGACGAAGCCCGATGATGCCTCTGCGACCTCGGATCACCGCATGACTGGTGTCGATGTCTTGCATAGCAAATACAGTTTGACTGGAAAGGGCGTCAAGATTGGTGTCATCGATACAGGTATCGACTACAAGCATCCTGCCTTCGCTGCCGCCGGTGCTGATGCTGGATGCTTCGCTCGCAATGGCAAGAACTGCCGTGTCAAGTATGGTTGGGACTTTGTCGGTGATGACTACACTGGATCCAACACTCCTAAACCTGACAGTGATCCCATGGACTGCTTTGGACACGGTTCTCACGTCGCCGGTATCATTGGTGGAAATGCTCTGAACATCAAGACCTCGCCTAAACCCCCACAGCCCTTCGTCGGTGTCGCCCCTGAGGTTACTCTCGGTGCCTACCGTATCTTTGGATGCGAGGGCCAAGCTGGTGAGGATGTTATTCTTGCTGCCATGGAGCTGGCCTTCAACGACGGCATGGATGTAAGTGATCGAGCTATTAATTACAATCACACAGACATGTGGGATGAGGAAATGAAGAATGGCCACTCATCCACTTTGATCAATACGCTATTCTTGAACATTTAGGTCATCAACATGTCTCTCGGTGGCGGCTCCTCCTACAAGACCAACCCTACATCTGTACTTGCTGAGAAATTGATCGTCCGCGGCATGGCTTTGGCCGGTGCTGCTGGTAACGATGGTTCTGATGGTGTCTGGATGGTGTCCGACACTGGTCTTGGTGACCACGCTACCTCGGTCGCGTCGTTCGACAATCAGTTCGTTTGGTTTTACTATCTCACTTATGGCGGCAAGAAGTTCCCCTACAACTTCTCTGACGCCTATGGCAAGACCATTAATCTGCCCGCCTCTGCCACTATCGTTCCCTTGCTCTCCAACGGTACATTGAGCGACGGATGCGACCAGTCCCTCTACAACGGTGTCGATGTCAAGGGCAAGACCGTCTTGGTTCTTGGCGATGTCACCCGCTGCAAATCTGGTGGACGTGGTGCTCTGGCTGTTAACAACGGCGCTGCTGGTATGATCATCCAGTCTAGCGATGCTGGCATCGACTCTTTGGGAGGTGTCCCCAACTTGCCCATGGCGTCGATCGAGTTTGATGCTGGTGTCCAGCTGCTCGCTACCTGGAAGGCCAACCCCAAGTCGGTTGTAACCTGGTCCAATGTCCAGGGACCCTTCTCCATTGACAACTCGGGAGCACCCTCTTCCTTCTCTTCCTTCGGGTTGGATGGTGATCTCCGCTCCAAGCCCGATATTGCCGCCCCTGGTGGCAACATCCTCTCAACCTACCCTCTTGCCAAGGGCGGTTATGCTGTTCTCTCTGGTACCTCCATGGCCACCCCCTACATTGCAGGTTCCCATGCTTTGTACATGCAGGCCAAGAAGGCCAAGCCCCATGGTGATGTTATTCGCCAGGTCTTCAAGAACACAGCCACGATCTCCAAGAACTACAAATCCAAGACCTTTACCTCTGCTGCTAAGCAAGGTGCTGGTTTGATCAATGTCCTCAACGCTGTCCTAACCTCGGCCGAGATCAGCCCCGACCACATTGATCTCCTCGATACTGTCAACTTCCAGAAGCAGGTCAAGATCCAGATCAAGAATACCGGCAAGCACACTGAGACCTACACTCTCACGCACGTCCCCGCTGATGCCTTGAACTCGTACAACGCCAACAACTCCTTCCCACTCGGTACTCCCATCATTGAGGTCGACTATGCCACCGTCAAGTTCTCCCAAAGCACCATTAAGATCAAACCTGGCCAGTCTGCCAAGGTCACCCTGAAGTTCACAGAGCCTAAGAATGGTAAGGCTGCTGACTGGCCCCTGTACTCTGGTTTCGTCGTTGCTACTCCTCGCACCAAGGGTGGTGTTGCTGTCCATATTCCCTACACTGGTGTCAAGGGCGATATCCGCAACGTGCCAATCCAGGATACCAGCCTCGGCTTCCCCGCGTTGCAGATGGTCAACTCGACCGGCCAATTGAACGATGTCCCCAAGGGCTTCACCTTCGACTTGAAGGACAACAAGCCCGTTGTCTTGTCCCGCTTTGGTTCGCACTCTCCCGATGCCACCATCCGCATCTTTGATTCGAACAAGAAGTTTGTCGGATTTTTGACCTCCACGGATGGCGGCGCTGCCTTTGGCGCCACCGGCAGAATGACGAACGTTGATAGCACCACCGGTCAGTTGGTCTTTGCCCAGTACACTTGGGAGGGACAGGTCCTCGCTGCCGAGAACGCAACCTTGGCCCCTACCACACTTGCTGCCGGCAGCTACGATATCGTTGTTGCCTCTCAGAAGAAGCTCACTAAGGGCAACTACCCCGGGGATTTTGAGATCTTTGACCTTGGCACCGTCAAGATCGCTTAAATGCGATCTTTTTCTTCTTCCTTTCACCTTCTTCCACCTTTCCCATCTTCATTGCCATTTTCATTATCATCTCAACCTCCGTAATTCATTCCTGATGACTCTCCCTTTCCCCGCTCGCGCGTATAAAAGTAACCGAACTCTTTATCTATCTAGACCAGAAACTAGAATAACAGCAATGTATACAAGATTATAAAGCCATTGGTTCAAAGCTGTATATCTAATAACACCCATCAACTCTTGTTCGCTGTGATATCTGATGAGCTTTATTAATTTTAGAAGAAAAGAAATGTACAGGGTAGAAAAAGACGAGTGCATCAGAAGAATGAGACGGAATGCAGGACGGATGTACTCGGATAGCGCTGCTGGAACCTATCCAGGATCGGCTGAACCTCATGATCAAAATCCTTGCTTTGCTCGATATCCTTGGCGAGATTTAGAATCATCCGTCCACCGACCATGGCCTCCTCGTAATTATCCTTGATCTCGACGTTGATCACATGCACCGGATTATTGTGCGATTCGCCTCGCTGAATGAGATCTGCTCGGTTGTTTATCAAGGTTTCCAGCGGAAGATGGGGTTAGCAAAAAATCCTTCCTCTGTAATGGACTGAACAAGCAATGGTGCCCAGTTGCTGATTACCTTCACATACGGCGTCGAAGCAGCGTTCTTCACAGGTGATGATGACATCAAACTCCTCTCTGCTCTCCTGGAACCGTTCCGGTGAGTTCTTAATCTTACGATTCCTGTCCAGCATAAGCAGCAATCCATTTGATTGGTATCTATTTGAAATTTGGTCCGCACACAGGTACGTCGAACGATCCCTCCAGTTAGACCCTCACTCTTGGGCAAAATGACGATTTACATCGCTGGAATGTTATACAATTGAATTGTCCTTTCCGCAATGCTATGTTTCAAAGCCCTCGGTCTCTTTTCCAGTTCAGCTCTTCCTTACAATTGCGTGTCCTTGCCCTTGAGTTCCTGATAGACATCATTGTAGGGTGTCCCAAAGTTGTAAATGTTGGGTTTGTCAATGGTCGGTCCTGGCAAACGGACCCTGGTTCCTATGCCGTATGATGATACCGTGAAACCGTTTTTCCTATTCAGTATCCGAAACAACGAACATAAGAGAGCGAGTTAATGGCATGAGTTGTAACAAGCCGAAGTCGCGCTCGCTAACGGAAACCGACCAACGCATCAGCATGATCCAAATAAAGATTCATTTTACAGCAGGACGTTGTGCGCCTCCATGCTGCGGTTCTGGTTCGAGGCGCAGATGACAGCAAAGCGAACCATGGCGAGATCTATGTTTGTGGTATCGAATGAGGTTGAACAAGAACAATGAAGGGCTGCATTGCTTTGTGCAAACAGACTGCTCTGGTCACAAGCAGCCGTCTCACGAAAGAAGCGGTCGCCCTATTGGTCAACGCGACCGCGCACTCTACCGTACTACGGAGCGCTTGGGCTTTTGAACATAAAAATCGCTTTTTTTTTTTTATTTCCGATATGAATGGTATTGATGCTTATGCTTAAATGTCCTTCTTCTTTACATCGTTCTTATTGCCGACAAACGTCTCCATGGCCCTGTCAGCGCCGCTGATAGTCCTTGCCAGGTCCTGAAACCATCCTGGCAAGATCGAGACGAGCGGGACAAAGTTGACATAGAATGGCAACATGATTTGGTTGCGCCCACGTCGCTGTTCTATCGATGCTACGATCTTACGCACCACCTCGAGGGGTTCAAGGATCGGAGTAAAGAAGGGGAGCCGCTCCTGAACGCCCTGGAACATTCCCGTTGCAATTCTGCCGCAGCAGACCAACGTGGTCTTCACACCGGGAGCCTTATACAGGTACTTGATCTCGGTTTCGAGAGTCTCGTGGAAGGCCTTAACAGCGGCCTTGGAGGCAGCATAGTCCGCTAATATATCAGGAAGGAATTGGTATGGGAGGTAAATATTATTGAGGTTAGGACAAGGTACTGGAATAAAATACTCGGTGCCTTGGCAATAGTCGATAGCCGCAACTGGTCGTTACCAATCCTTGGAGCGGACATGATACCCATGGCGGACGAAATTGTGACCTATGATCGGAGATGATAAAATGTCAAGCGATCGAGTATTTTTTTTGATACGCAACATTATGCTGCATGTGAGATAAAAGACGGCTCCTTACGACATGTCCATGGTTGTTCTTGATCATGTCTGGTAAAAACTCCTTAATCATGTAGGCCTGTCCCAAAAAGTTGACATTCATCGTTCGTTTGATATCCTCTGCGGAGAGGTCTAGAATCGATTGGCCATTGACAATGGCAGCGTTGTTGATCAAGATAGTAGGCTCGCCCACATCTTCACGGATCTCCTTGGCAACGCGTGCAATATCCTCGGGGCTGGAGACATCGCAGATGTAACTGTCAATATCCACTATCGGTTTTCAACATCAGGGTATAACGCGCGATGGTTAGATAGTAAAGATCAATGGCGGTTGTGCGCAGTATTGACTAGCATTCAGGATCCTTACAGGCGGTTTTCACAGGCTGGATGTCGAGAGCGACGACAGTGATGCGTCGAATGGCCAGTGACTCGGCGAGGAGCAACCCAATTCCACTAGCACCTAATTGTTTTGCAGTTGCCGAAGAATCAGCGAGACATTAGACCTGAGATTCCATTCAAATGGACCTATGGTGCCGAAGATAGCAGGACAGTGGATTGTACCTCCAGTAATCAGAACGACCTCGTCTTCCCAGTCGGCTTTTTCTCCCGTTCTCTGGCTCCGTTCATGCGCCCAAAATGCGATCTTGACAAAGAACAACAGCGCTCCATACGCGGCTGCCAGGATAAAGGCAAGACTTTCGTTCGAGGCACCGTACAGCTTGATGCAGGGGATCAGAAAGAATGGGAAGGACAGATGAAAGACAGTGGCATTGAGCATATGCAGGGCAAAGTCGATGCTTTCACGGTGGACCATGGTGGTGGTGGTTATGTCCGCTGCTGAATGTGGGAATGGGTGGAGGACGAAAGAGGATTGCAGAAAAAAGAAGGATGAGGAGTATCCTGGCGCAATAATAGGCAATTGGGTCTGAAACGTAAAGTTTGATTAAATTGCTGATCAATAATTTAAACCATCTATATCAGGCGCGTACGAGCGCGTCGTACCAACTATTATTGAAGCGCTGTATGAGCTGGCCAGTCTGGAAGCGTGTCAAACCGCGTTTCTGACACACTGGATGATGCATCTACAGCCCGCGGGCTCATCTTCCGCGCTTCAACTGCTTCATGTCTCTCTCTCTCCCCAGCCTGTGTGCGTCGTGACTGGTCAAAGCGCTCCTAAATAGGTGCCCTTTTTTTTTTTTTTTTTGGGGGGGGGGGAAGCACCACCGCAGCTCTTCCTCCTTTACCTTTCACTTTCTGCAGTGTCATTCAACCGCGGATCCAACGCTCTAACACGCACAACACTTCTATCACTACGCTACTAAAAGGATCCTGAATAGAACCGTTGTAATGGGAGTGACAGAAAAATCACGATTGAAGGATGCTCTCGAATACTTGCGGGAAGCTGAGAAGAAGTAGCGTCTTATTCCGCTTCACCAATACTCGCCCACTGTCAATGAAGTTGCAACAGCACCGCTAATGCTAATATATAACCGAGTTCTTTGGCCTTGGTCTATGTAGCACCGAGAAGGGTTGGTTCAGGAACCCTGACTGGGATATCGCTGCCCAATATTTTGAGAAAGCGGGTGAGTGCCCCCTTTTGTGTTAAATGACATTAGCCATGTCCGCGAGATGCACGATACGTCTTGTCATATCCTTCCCCCCCCCCCCCCCCCCCGATTTCGCCAAGGACCACTAATCAGTTTTACGCCCTGTTCGACATGCCCGCGCCAACCTCCCTATGCAGGTCAGGCATTCAAGGCTGGAAAGTCGTATGAGCAAGCAATCCAAGCTCTTATCAAGGCCTCTGACGCCATGGTTTCTTCTACAAGGCACATACCACTCCCACCCCAGGCCTTGTCAGATGCCATAGGCAGGCGACAAGCCTAAACTAACTCTGCGTTTATCCATTCTCTAGTCTGTTCATGGCAGGACGTGCAATGGAGGATGCAGGCGGTATTGCGATCCAGAATCTCGGTCAGCCAGAACGAGCTGCCGATATGTATAAGCGTGCCAGCGACTTGTTCTTGCAGAGCATGACGCCAGATCGAGCTGCGGAGTTGCTAGAAAAGAGTGCCAAGTAAGCACCACCGTGCAGATTTTTGTGATGGTTCAGTAACACGTAGTCGTCATACGCTGATCACGGAGTCTATGGTTACGTTTGCTTGGTGTTAGAGCGATGGAGCCGATCTCTGTTGACTCTGCGATCGAATCTTACATTGGAGCCTGCGACATTTACGAGAATGAAGATCGAGCTCGATATGCAGCCGACACCTTCAAAAGAACCATTTCTTTGCTGGTCAAGCATAAGCGGTAAGAGAATCGCACCATGTTGCGTCCTGAATATACCATTCATCACGCGAGAAAACAACTTATGAAGTGACCTTTATTCTTCATTAAAATCTGCTGTCCCAGCTTCGCGAAGGCGATAGAGGTGCTGCAGAGACTGGGCAATGTTCATAAGGGTGCTTCCAACAATACAGCATACTACAAGACCCTTCTAAGCATCATTATTGTGGAATTGGCTGCAGGCGACGAGGTCAATGCCGGAGCGCGCTTTCAGGAATACTGCTCGTAAGTATTGCCTTGACGTGACAAATCCCTTTGTAGACCATGGGATGCCAATCTCATTATCCAAATACCTTGGTATCGCTCTGACATAGCGTGGAAGGTTTTGTCCAGTCTGAAGAATCTGCCGTTGCGCATGCAATGCTGGATGCGTTTGAAAACCGTGACCAGGACTACTACAACCAGACTGCTGCCCGCCAATACGTCGGGTTCTTGGACAATGAGATAGCGCGACTGGCGCGCAACATTGTCATCTCAAATGATCTAATATCTGGAGCCGGATGTGCTGAACCTGGCCAGGCGCTAACTCCGCCACAGCAGCATCAGCAGATGTACTTGCCGCAAGGTCACTCAGGCAGCACACCTCCAGTCCAGTCCAGTCCATATCAACAACAACAGCCGCCATATCCTGCACACCCACATCAGCAACTATTTTCTGATCAGAAGGATGTCTATCAAGCACAGCCTGTCTCTCGGAATTTGTCTCGTCCTCTGAGCATGAATGGGGGATATGAGATTTCGCCGACAAGCTCATCGGATCCTCCACCTTATTCGGAAGAGCGGAGCGAATCCGACTGGCATGCGCTGACAGAGAAGCAGCCGTATCAACAAGGATCATCATACCTAGAGCAGAGACAACAGCCGGAAGCACCGCCCAGCCGCAATTACTACCAGGATGTGGAGGCGGATGATGATGGTCTTCTTTGAAGCAATGATAGTGACCGCGCCTGTGCCTGAGCATGCTTTTCCCACCCATTTTAGGAAATTGTGGAGTTGATTGAATAAAGATCTCATTCTTCATTGATTCCCGTCCATTCGTTCTATCTTAATCATTCCAATGGTAAAGTGCATCGAGGAGGCGGAAGAAGCAGGACTGAAAGGCGCCACTGAACCATTCCGGCACACTGGCTTCCTGCTTCTATCCCAACTGACTTTGTGTCCTTGACGACATAAATAATTGTTACTTAGGCAACACGGACACTTGCGGGACGATTGCTCCGTCCCACCAGCACAGCAGCAAACACCTTCGCAAGCAGAAATGTCCCTTCAGTGATTAAACCAACCTCGGCGACAAGGATTACTGCTAATACAATCTGCAAGGCAACTTCGGTGTCACCTCATCAATTATCGTCATCGTTTTCGCTCTTCTCGACTTCAGCCGCGGCAGGACGTGCCAAGGTCGCAGCCCAGTATGGACAGCCAACTTGGATGACACACTCACATCTGATGAAGCAGGGCGAGAGTATGTCTTCTTTGCAGGGCTTTGATAGGGGTCTCCTGGGCGTAACGTTGATCTACAAGGCATGTTACACCGTATGAGAGAAGAAGAGTTCTGACCAATGCCTCGTTTGTTATATAATACTAGTTACACCTGGATTGTCAGCATCCGAGTATGAACTCAGAAGATCGATTCTGATGCAGGGACTCCCCAAGGGGAGCATTGTCATCGCATCAAGCCATCGGACACGATTTATGACGAATAATATCTTGTAAGGCATAAATTGAGACTATCTTGGTAGCTATGAATTTAGGCCATTCAGTTGCACAACGCCGATTACTCACTATGGTGAACTGCGAAAACTCATTAGCTATCCGTTCCATCAACAGACCGACTTTTATTATCTTTGCGGTATGGGCCGTTGTCAGAAATGCTCGATAGGGATAAGGAGATTGGATCTAAATCGCACGGTTGGTGATACTGACGGAGCGCTTTGATAATTTGCGTCGACAATAGGATTTAACGAGCCAGACGCAGCACTAGTCCTTGGTAGGTTTTGGCGAGTTGTATCTTTTTACGAACGATCACAATTGCTTCCCGGCCGACCTAACATCTCTTGGTTCGTATCGCTCTTGAATAACAGAGAAGAATGATTCGCCCCGCGGATATAAAATGACCATGTTTGTGGCGCTCAAGAACGCCAATGTTGAGATGTGGGAGGGTGCGCGTACAGGAACCGAGGCTGCCAAGGAAATCTTTGGCGCCGACGAAGTAAAGCAGCCAGTGATCCTTGCAAAGTTTTGTTCAACGCAGCAGGAGACGAACCGATCATTAATGACTATATTCTTATATTCTTATATTCTTATGACATGGATAACTAGGCGGTTGATGCAAATTTATTCAGATACAGGATCGTGGACATGGCGAGTCGATATGAAAACGTCTACTTTGACTACCCGAACGCATCAATGTTCATGCCCATGGACATCGCAAAGAAGCTGCACAACAAGCCAGGTAATCAAAGCGACATACGAAAATGATTTGCTCGGTTGTGGGTCCACTTGGGGCGATCACATCAAAGGAACAGGAATATCAACCCACACATCAACCCCTCTATCATCTTGTGCTATTCTCAGTTTCGTCGTCCCTACTTTCACGCTTGATTGGGATCTTCAAAAGAACGAACGCTAAATCCTCGTCTGCTTTCGCCTTTACCTCCCACCCGTATCCCAACAACGGCGGTATGAAAACATCATCTCGACGACAATTTTTTAAAGACTCGGATTCGATAACCACCACCAAAAGCCTTTCACCTTTGGTTCAGGAACTGCGTGTCATCAAGAGCGAGGCCGAGATCAAGATCATGCGGCAGGCGGGCGAAATTAGCGGCAAAGCATTTATTGAGGTAAGTCAACAACACTATATAACTATATATGATAGATGACCTTTTGTAGCGCTATTTTCTCTGGCTGATCTCTCTTTCTTTCTTTCTTTTTTTTTTTTTTTTTTTTTTTTGTAGACGATGAAGTTTACGAACCCAGAGCGACTTGAGCATCAGATCTATGCAAAGTTTGATTACGAGTGCCGCATGCGCGGTTCCCAAATGATGGCATACGTGCCTGTGGTGGCAGGCGGATCTAACGCGTTGACTATGCACTATGTTAACAATGATCAGCCCCTACACGACGGCGACTTGTTGCTGATGGATGCTGGTGGAGAACTGAATGGATATGCAAGCGATATTACAAGGACGTGGCCAGTCAATGGCAAATTTACGGAGGCACAGAAGGACCTATATGAGGTTGTTTTGCACGCGAACAAGGAGTGCATCAAGGTAAAAGAAAATTGCTGTGGAGGGAAGAGGAAATATGCAGGGCAGGCGACGCATCCACGAAAACTAAATGGACGTTATTTTATATGTCAAAAATGATAGCTCTGCACGGAGGAGCATGGCATGTCGTTGAACCAGATCCACGATGTTTCGATGCGTCTTACTAAGGAAGGTCTATCGAAACTCGGCATCAAGCCTTTGGCTCATGTAAGTCGACTCAATGGCAAAGAGAATATTTGAATGATAGGATGAAGTGGTGTTTTAACAGGGTCTCTATTACTCTCATTTATCTGCCATAGGATGTGGATAGGAGATTGTATCCTCATCATGTTGGACATTATTTAGGCATGGATGTTCACGACACAGGTGATATTTCCAGGTCCCGACCTCTGAAGGAGGGCATGGTCATCACGATCGGTTAGTAACATGGGCTTTGTATCTATGACGGCTTCTCCTTTCGTTGTTGAAAAGTGCGTTCCTGACAATCAGCGCCATATCTTTCTGTAGAACCCGGTCTGTACATTCCTCGGGATCCTGCATATCCTGAAAAGTATCAGGGAATTGGTATTCGCATTGAAGACAATGTCGCGATTGGCAAGACCGTTCCGCATGTCCTGAGTGTCACCGCGCCTAAGGAGGTGGTCGACATCGAGTATTGCTGTGCCTCTGACAAAGAATAGACAAATATGAAATAAAATATCTGCTTCCTGGCTCCCCTTGATGGTCTACCTTGCTCTAGTTTTTTTTTTGACGTCAAATCCCCCTTCCCCCTACAAAAAGAACGCGACCAATGCGCTCAAAGTAGTCATGTGATGATCAAGGCCTGGTCGCTCAAAAGGTTCCACAAGCACTCTCCTTCGCGCCATTCCTTTCATCCCAACTCTCTCGTCATTCACCACTTCCAACGATCCTAGCAATGGCAGACTCTTCACGAGAGACCCAGCCCTTGTTGACTAACAGCACCAGCGGGAGTAAGGGCTCTTCAATGGCCTCAACTGCCTATAATGTCTTGACACATACCAGAAGCGTGGGATTCTATTAGACCATTGTAGACTGACATGACCGCACCATTTTTCTTTTTTTTTTCCCAGGCCCTAACGAGGACCGCCGATCAAGGTTCCGCAAGGTCTTTCCTTATGGTCTGATCGCGCTGCTCTTTATCGGCATCAGTACCATCCTCTTGATTGTTCTTGTCAAGCCTCACGATGGTACTTTTTTTTTTTTTCTATTATTATTCAAAGGTGTCACTTTTTGTGCATAAGACATGTCCTATCTCTACTCTTTCTAAAGGATGCATTTTGAAACGACCCTTTTAGAAGGCGGGCCTCACAATGACCCTAAAAAGTCGCCTCTGTCCGAACACTTGGTGACCCCCGCCATCTTCAAGCACTTGGAAGAACTCTACGCGATCGCACTGAAGAACAACAACTCGCGCTCCGTGACCAATGGCTACATGGCCTCTGCAGAGTATGTCCAACACCAACTTAGATTGAAGGCTAGAGAGTACTGTCATGTCTCTACTCAAGAATTCAAGGTCCCTGTGTGGTCTGAACTCGAGGCGCCGGAGCTGAGCAGTACGGGTATCGGCGCTGCAGGCGGATACATTCAATACCAGAACAAAGTTGACTTCCAGAGTAGGTGCTGAGTACATTACGTGAACAAATGTTGCACTAGCCTATATGTCGATGAACATCAGGTTTCGCTTCCCGCATGTGATGGTCTTGGTGCTCATCCGGGCCTTATTTGTACTCATAATTACTCTCTGCTTTTGTAAATTGCTCCGTTCATAATAATCACATTAGATTTCAGATACGGTGGACCTTCCGCTACACTCAAGAAGCAGGAGATCCATGGAGTTGCTAACCATGGATGCAGTGCTAGCGACCACAAGAGGGTCAAGGGGAAGATTGCAGTGATTGAGGAAGGTGGTCCGTGCGACCTCTGGAGCGCTGCTTACCTTGCAGAGAAGGTAGTTACTGGACCTTGTATCCTAAACTGAAGTGAGGAGAGTCAGCATTTGGGGGATTTGTTCAGTTACCAACTACTCTGATCGTGTTTTCGTGGATTTGTGTCGTTGATAGGCTGGGGCAAAGGCCATTTTGTTCTACAATAACCCCAAGCGCAAGGCCTTGCTCTATTCGCGCATTCGCATCACTGCCTGGAAGGAAGGAGATCCCCTGATCTCCATTCCAGTTCTCTCTATCACCAACTCTTTTGGGTCAACACTCCTTCAAAACCAGGACACTGCGCAGTTGACTCTCAGGACTGTCAACAAGCAGACCATCGAATCGACCATCAACGTACTCTGCACCACTCACGGAGGTGATGAAGACGACACCATTGTGTTGGGCGCGCATTTGGACTCTGTTCCTGAGGGACCAGGTATGGTCGACAATGGTTCAGGAGCAACATCTTTATTGGAAATTGCGCTCGTGATGGCTAAGGCCAAGTATCGCTTGAAGAACAAAGTTGTATTTGGATGGTGGGGCGCGGAGGAGATCGGATTGCTGGGATCGCGACACTTTGTGCGCGAGCTGGTCAAGGATGAGGAGAAGAAGAAGCAGGTCGCAATGAACATGAACTTTGACATGTTGGCCAGTCCCAATTATGTTCCCTATGTAAGTTGCTGCTCTATGTCGTGCTGCGACGTGCCATGGTCATCACCTCCTTTATTAAGCAGTTCCTTGTGCTGTAGGTCCATGACGGCAAGACAGCTCCTAAGGAGCTGGTCGGTCCTTCTTCAAGGATTGATCACCTCTTGATTGAGTACTTTGATTATGAGAATGAGGGCTACGAATACACGGATATGGTTGCAGGCAGTGACTTTTTGCCGTTCCTGCTGGAGAACATCCCTTCCGGTGGTTTGCTCACAGGTGCCGGTGAGAAGAAGACCATGGAGCAGCGTACACACTTTGGAGGATTCGCAAACGCACCTCTGGATCCTTGCTATCACCAGAGCTGCGACACTCTTGACAATGTCAGCAAGGAGGCATTGAAGCTGATGTCCCAGGCTGCGCTATATGCGATCACCAAGCTAGGCAAAGCCGAGAACCTGCGCGAGTGGTTGGCGGATGCTAAGGTGGAGTTGCGCTGAGCAGATAGGAAGGTGGAAAGAAGAAGAACGTACATGTTCAATTGTATAGCTACCGGACGTGGGTATGTTCACTTCCCACGGTTCCTACATTTTACAATGAATAAAGCGCTTTATCTATGTTCACCCACACGCAGGTTGACGAATGGATTCAACAGATTTAAGGCGGAACAAAATTAAACCAAACAACAGCAGCTCTTTTCATTTACTCATTTACAAACCAACATATCTAACGGTCGTCCTCAACGCAAATTCACACGCACTCATTACTCCATTTTAATAACCTATGGTTCCACGAATGTGGGCGCAAAAAAAAAAAAAAAGGGCGCAGAGTCTACACTACACACGAATCAGTTTTCGCGTTTGCCATCAGTCCTCCTCCAAAGAAATGATTTGGAGCTTTCTCTATGTTTGAATTTTATCGCACAATCGTGCGACCGTTGGGGATAGCTCTGCACACGGACGCGGGTTGCATATTGTGCATCTCCTTCCAGGCTCCAGATCTGGCCTTGTTTTTCTGCTTTCATCCAACAGACCGATGCATGCCCAAGGCTCAATTAACTTTGCTTTCGAGGTATGTGTCTTTTTCTAGTACTGTTGAGCTGCAAATCGATCTCAAAGAGGAATTCCACGCGTACAATATCCGTCCACATTTAACCAGGCGCCAATACAACCCCTCCTTGTCTGCCCATGATGATTTACAGTTTATTGTGGATCAAGAGCCCTCGCCTTGCTTGTTGCCACAAATGGTAATGAACAGCAACGCATTCACATCTGCTGTGAGATATATGAATAGCTGGGAACCTTATAATGCCAGGAGCTTGCATCTGGCGAGCACTTCGGACAGAGGATCTATGAAAAAGCTGATGGATGGCGCAATGTTAGGAGCTGGACGGAGCCTTCGCGGTATTTCCGGCAGGTACATTTGCCTACAGTCTACTCTAGGATGATCCTCCGAGTAAAAGAGCAACGGCCCTGGCCAATGAGGGTTCGCGCTCCGTCAGATCGTCTGCCTATAGAATCAGCTTCTCCATCCCAACTATCTGGACCATTGCTCTTCAGCCTCTCTTGCGCCAAGTAGGCTAAGGGTACATTTCTTGCATACTGCAAACAGGGTTCACACATATTTGGAAATATGTCTAGAGTAGCAAAATCCACAGTCCATGCATCAATACCTGGATGTGCAGTTAATGCAAAGGAAGGGGTGCAGCAGGAGACATATATCCATGGTCGTACCCTGGATTTTGGAGATGATGCATCACCTGCAGTGCAAAGAGCACCAGCCAGTAAGATGCCGACCCAGTTTGCGAGCTCAGAATTGTTAATTGAGCCTCCAGGGATAAATATCGAAAAAGCATTCCTGTAATCAATCCAATTGAAAAACTATATACAGCACGGCCAGTTTCAATATCTAAAACGAAGGTATTATTTCGTAGTGTTTGGTACATAGTCTATGTTGGATGACGAGGACGATTCTGGTCTGGATTCCGAGGACACGATGTCTGTTGCAGATAATCGAGATACAGATAGTCGAAGCCGCTCTCCGCAACTGCACCATCGGAAAAGAAGGCGCCCATCGAGCCATTCTCCTCACTACCTTCAAGTCCCTTCCCGGATGAGGACTATTCTTCGGAAACTCTCCAAGACGCTGTAAATGAGTTCATGCGCGTCGCCGATAGCAGCCAGAACCCCAATTGCATTGCAATTGAGATTTCGGTAGAGAAAAGTTACCGCTTTCAAAATTGAATATATTTTGCATGGGCTTGATGACCCCATGGTGCTCATTTCAATTCATTCTACGTGCCAGGGATCAGGGATGCATCTGAGTATAGAATAACAATTTTGGATTGAAAAGGGCGGGGGTCATCTGGCCCATGCGAAGTATATCCAATTTTGAAAGCGGTAACTTTTTCTACCGAAATCAAAATCCACTGCACAATGTTCTCTAGGGGACTTACTTTCAGGACGTTCTGGATGAGATGGATTAAAGGTCTGCCTTCTCGATATTTTATCCCCAGAGGCTCGATTTGCAGGGGACGACTGTGTTGCTAGAATTCCCCTGCGAGTAAGAGATGAAAAAGCAACGGCGCTATGAACGTTTGGCTGCTACAAGCCAGCGCTTCTGTAAAAGTCATGATCGCAAACTGTACCTTGGTTCATTGCTGTGCAATGATCTGCGTGTCCTTCCCGTCGACAACTGACCTTTTCCCGTTTGCTGCACCTTTTGATGGCTACTTCCTCGAGCGGGAAAGAGGGCGTCAACCATTTCCTGCATCGCCTCTTTGCCTCTTACCGTCAGTTTGCTACCACAAAAGGGGCGCCTTTGGTACGAAGGACAGCACAGCACTTCCCCTTTTTTACTCACGCGTCCGAGGCGTTCCTTCCTTATTCTTCGTTCACCTCTTCACTCGCTCACTCACGCACCTACTGCCACTCAATCATCAACCAGGTACCAGCCCCTCCAACTATCCGTCGTCTTTTTTCCCCTAATATCGCTTGAAACGACCACCCCCTGACTCCATTCAGCCGTAATCGACATGCCCGAAAACGAGTACCACCACTATATACCACGCTTCATACTGAAGACTTTCTCAGACAACTTCCTACTGAAAGCCTCAGACGCTTTCATACCGACTACCTCAGGTGGCTTCATACAGGAGACCTTCTTGGACGAACTGCTGGAGCGCAGTGGAGGGAACAGGGGAGGGAGAAGGGGAAGGAGCAGGGGAGGGACAAGGGGAAGGAGCAGGGGAGGGACAAGGGGAAGGAGCAGGGGAGGGAGCAGAGGAGGGAGCAAACGAAAGCCTATCTATCATATCAAGGTGTATCGAGTTCAAGACCAAAGAATCACGCTGGACGATGTCGGTAGAGCATACGGCATCGAAAACATATACCGAGACATCACCGCGGAAGACTCCATGATGTTCGAGAAGCTTTTGGCCGAGTTGGAGTGCACCGCCGCGGTGTTTGTTCGGAGGATTTGGTCAGGCGAAGACATTTCGCTGACACGAACCGAGCTGGCAGATTTCAAGAAGTTTCTGGCCATCATGATGTATAGGGGCGAGCACCGCAGGAAACAATATTTCGAGGACAGGTTTGACTTCGCGACGCGAATGACAATCAAAAAGCACATGCGCGAAAACAACATCAGCAAGATTCAAGATGTGTGGTTCGAAAACCTCAAGTGGATCATCAAGACCCCTATCGAGGACATCCTCAAAGAATTCGAGAGAGCCCACGGGCCAATGGATCCTTTTGCTATCATGGTGGCATATAGAGGACCTATCCACGCTGTAGAGCTTTTGGACTTTGGCTACATGGTTATGAACACTGTATGTATTTGGCATGCGGAAGAGGGATCCGAGTTCATCCTGTCCAACACTAGCTTCGGTTCGTTCGAGGGCGATATGGGTGTCAATTTTCACTCTTTTTTTGTCGTGTCTCCAGAGTATGCCGTGGTTCTCATCAGCCGCCTCTACATGAATGGCCAAATGGAGATGCTGCCTCTCAGGAAGTCGTGGTTCGGGAAGGAGCTCCGCGCCTTTCCGGATGCCGTCTACATGAACGAGAACCCGAAGAGCCAGGACGATTTCACTAAGGACGACGTGTTTAAATATCGAAGGATTGTCGTCCCAAAGCAGAAAGTATACCTCGTCAATAGCATCCTTCTGGACTCGAGAGACAAGTATATAACATACAAGTCCAGTCCTTCCATGTACAAGTCCCTGCTATACTACGACAAACACAAGGGCGAACTGTTCCACAACCAGTACGACTACTCTATCCTAAAGCGCAAGGTGTTTGCCGAGATGAATAGAACACATAGCGCCTAAGCTCTTTCCAAATAACTTGCCAGGATTTTTAAAGGAAGCCTTAAGATTAGTTTCAATAAGCTGCACCAGTTTGCGAAACCAATTCGATGTCGATGTAGAATAAGAATGACACTTGTTTTGTACGAAGCGGCCTTGTCTTTAAATTCAACGTTATTATTGGCTGCAGCGGGTTAAAAAAAAGCTTCATCGCATCCAACACGCAGTGCACAGCATCTTCTCGCTACCCTTCTCAACAACCCCTACTACCTCCGCATCAACTGAACTCTGCTTCTAGCCTCGCCATCGTTGATAGAGAGATAAAAGTTTGCAATAAACTCAAGGTCGTGTTCCCACAGTTCTGTGAGATGGTTTTCATAGCCGCTGTATCCTTGTCCGAGCGACCTTCCACCATGATGCAAAAAAAAAAAAAAAAAAAATGGATACGTATTGAACATCGGTATACGTGCCGTACATCGAGAAATGATCCCGCAAACGGGTTCCGATGTGCAATAAGGTTTTCAATATAGCAAGCTGGCTGATGTCAGAGAATCTTTCGTGTATCCTCTAATGTGTTAATAGCGCGAGGTAAAGGGTCTCTGCAGAGGCGCCAGGCCTGGGACCTCTCTGCTCTTGTTGAAACACATCGAATGCATGATGCAGGATTTTCAGTAGCTCCTGGATGGCTGTGTCGATTCGCCCGTATCTCATATGTTGCAGGATTTTTTTGTAGGTGAATGATCACGTCTGCTGCCTGAGCGTCGGAAGCGAATGTCGCAGTTTGATTTGAGCTATCTTGTAACAGAGATATCACACTGTCATCTATGTTGCTTTAGCTTGTTTATTTCGTTCTGCAATGTAGTGTAAGAAAACTGCTGTGTCGCAAGCAGGCAAATATCTACTGGAGATATTCACGGGGGATGTGATCCTTTCGGGGGTGCTTGTAACTTTGCATGTCATTCAGAAGCCCCTTCCACATGAATACAGAGCTGTTATTAAAATGTTCTTGATATATTTTACCTTACATTGCGCAGTGTGGCCGAGTCAAATCCAGCAACTCTCTCACTGCGCTTTGCAATATGCTGACTCCATAAAGGAGTTTGCATGCACCATCAAAAGCCCTTGATGTTTGTAACTCAGCCATGTCCATCTTAGCGAAGTTTAGTCCTCGTTCTATTAGGATACAGTTTCTGGCCGTGTAACTGTCGCTGTCGAAGACCCAGTCGATATGAGCATTAGAGCCTTCCAAGAACTGGCCAGTCGCTAAGGATCGGCCCTGCAAGAGCATCTCATTTTCCCCATCAGCAAAAACAACAACGGCAAAAAAAGGGTCGAGCCTTCATTAACCATAAATCGACTTTAGATATTGTTTTTCTTGGTAGGAAAGAGGACTGGATTAAGGCAATATCAAAACACGATCTGCGATTGTACAGATGAGAAATGAAATGGGTCCATGGCACCCTTTCCTATCAACACCGCTGTGGAGGAAAATAAAAACTGTTTATTCTTCAAAGATTCAATATAGAAGGTGTAACCAATATCTATGGTTCTAGATCGCGTCCATTCCCATTCGTCCTTTCCTCCAGGAAGGCTCCTGAGAAATGCATGTTTTTGTGTAATATTTCAGACTACTGCACTCTCTTTTTTGCGCGTGCTCTCGTCATGGCGCGACCTCTTTCTTGGGTACAAATGTATGTATACAACTGGACCTTCGTGTATTTTCCCTGGACCAACAAAAAAGCGTGCTCGTACACATCTTACAAAAAACAGCATCGTGAGCACTTTTCAGGTTTAACGGCTGGCCTGCGATTGGATCGAATACCGATGGCAAGCGTGTGTCCGAAGAGCGATTTTAGTCACCTCTGGCTCGTTAATACATTCACCCTGAGAGAGCCCGCTGAAATTCTGCTTGAGAGCATTTGTGAACTCTAGTGGACGACCATTCACTTGCCGCATTCGCTCGTGAGTCTCACCTGTACATGTACATATTTTTAATGCATCGCTCTTTTACAGGGTTCTTTCTAATGCATTCAGGTACATTTTCAGGAAAGGCGTATCTAGAACATTGAGGATGTTTTATCGCAAAACACCACGGAGTTTGGTTGACAGCCGATTATCTTAGACTACTTTCCTCGTCATCTCAGGCAAAATGAAGGGTCCAGCACTCCTGCAGTGCACTTTCCCATGGGAATTTATGTCTCTACAAAACAAAAGAGGGCCAGGCGTTTGCCATGGACACACCTTTCACATCGCCATCTATTTCTAGAACCTTGTCTTGTATATATGATACAATCCATATACTAAAAGACTTATTTCTTGTGTGAGCCCTCTTTTATTGTTTTACCCACGCGGCGCCTTCGAACCTGTAGTCTTCATTCATTCTTCATCACGGCCCTCAGCTGAAATGCACATTCCGCTGCCAGCTAATAGTAAAACAGGCCATGCCAGCATTGTAAGCGCAGAAATGAAAAGAGTTAGAGCGCCATATGCAGAGAGAAGGTAAAGGATGAATCCAGCAGTGCATGTCCGGCATACCAACATTCGATCGGCATGAACCTGGAAAAGAATATTATTACAAAAGATGTTTAAGTAATGAAGACCAACGGACGCATGCAGCTGCCGCTTGTTTTCCTTGCGAGTGTGTATTCCCACCCGCGTATTTCACAATTTGGGCTCGACGTAATTTAGATTGCCTAACCCCCCTTGAGTCTATTTTCCTCGGTATAAACAGCTTTTTTTGCAAACAGGAGTTTTTAGGCAAGGGCGTAGCTGCCATGAAGGGTTACACCACCATGGTAGTGCCATGACCAATCTTTTGAATATACAATACTTCTTACTTTAGAAAGTCAAAGCTGCAATCCACTCAATCCTCGTCCCTGAGACTAAACCTGCATTCACCTGGTATCCTCGGTCCCTGTTTCCCAGGAACATACCGCCATACCCTTACTGGACTCGACCCTGAATTCCTTTAAATACCCGGCACCATCCCTGCCCTTTACTGCTTCTTCAGCCTTCAAGACTCTCATATTCCTACCCTAGCCCTTCTTCGCTCCTCCCCGACCACTCCTCCCCGCCTCCACCCCCTTCCTCGCCTTTACGGTAACCCCCACCCAGTCTTCTACAGACCTTTAAGTCCTCTACATCCTAGTCATCACAACACTCGTCTCATCATCTCAAAATGAAGATCACCGCTATCCTTTCCGCCCTCGCCGCCGCCACCTTGGTCTCTGCCGGCAGATTCCACGATGTTGGCAGCATCAAGGATATCAACGTCCTCCCCAATGGCTACATTATTGAGTACCACGACGGAATCAAGCACGCTGATGCCCACAACGCCTTGAACTCCCGCAAGGTCGACTACAAGGTCCGCAACGAGTACAACATCTTCAACGGAGCTGCCATCACCGTCAACTCCAAGCACAGCGGCAAGGACATTGCCTCACTCCCCGGCGTAAAGAATGTCTGGCCCATCACCTTGTATTCGATCCCCAAGATTCAGAAGTCCAAGAAGAAGGCCACCGACCCCGAGGTTGGCTCGCTTCACACCATGACTGGTGTCGATGTTGTCCACAAGAAGTACAAGTTGACCGGAAAGGGTGTCAAGGTCGGTATTATCGATACCGGTGTTGACTACAAGCACCCTGCCTTCGCCGCTGCTGGAGCTGATGCCGGGTGCTTCGCCCGCTACGGCAAGAACTGCCGTGTCAAGTACGGTTGGGACTTTGTCGGCGATGACTACACTGGTTCCAACACTCCCAAGGCCGACAGCGACCCCATGGATTGCCAGGGACACGGTTCTCATGTTGCTGGTATTGTCGGTGGTAATGCCCTGAACATCAAGACTGGTCCCAAACCTCCACAGCCCTTTGTCGGTGTCGCCCCCGAGGTCACCTTCGGTGCTTACCGTGTTTTCGGATGCAGCGGTTCCTCTGGTGATGATGTTATCCTTGCTGCCATGGAGCTGGCCTTCAACGATGGCATGGATGTAAGTTTGCATCTTTTTTTTCCTTTTTTTTTCTCAATGTGTTCCGTAAGCATTCGAGTTTCGAGCAAGTGTTGCAACAGCTTTCTGACATACACTTCTTGCATTTCTGTCTTAGGTCATCAACATGTCCCTTGGTGGTGGATCTTCCTACAAGCTGAACCCTACCGCGGTCCTCGCTGACAAGTTGATTGCCCGCGGCATGGCTCTCGCTGCCGCTGCCGGTAATGACGGTTCCCAGGGCGCCTGGATGGTCTCCGACACCGGTCTTGGTGACCTTGCCAGCTCGGTCGCCTCGTTCGACAACGCCTACGGTTTCTACAACTCCTTCACCTATGGAGGTGCTTCCCACCCCTATGCTCCTTCCACTGCCTGGAACCAGATCATCAACCTGCCTGCCAACGCTACTTTGCTTCCCGTCTTCGAGAAGAACGGCGCCTTGTCCGATGGTTGCGACCCCGCTATCTACAATGGACTTAACGTCAAGGGTAAGGTTGTCCTGGTCCTAGGTGACACCACCCGCTGCAAGTCTGGTGGACGTGGTGCCAACGCTATCACCGCTGGCGCTGCTGGTATGCTTATCCAGACCACTCCTATCGGTATCGCCTCCTTGGGCGGTAACCCTGACTTCCCCATGGGTTCGATCGAGAACAAGGCTGGCGATGATTTGATCGCCGTCTACAAGAAGACCCCCACCGCTGCCATCACCTGGAGCAAGGGTCCCTCGAACTTCCTCGTCGAGGGTGGTGGAGCTCCTTCGGACTTCTCCTCGTTCGGTTTGGATGGTGATCTCCGCTCCAAGCCCGATATTGCCGCCCCTGGTGGCAACATCCTCTCAACCTACCCTCTTGCCAAGGGCGGTTATGCTGTTCTCTCTGGTACCTCCATGGCCACCCCCTACATTGCAGGTTCCCATGCTTTGTACATGCAGGCCAAGAAGGCCAAGCCCCATGGTGATGTTATTCGCCAGGTCTTCAAGAACACTGCCACGATCTCCTCCAACTCTGGCTCTAAGACCAAGGCCTCTGCCACCAAGCAGGGTGCTGGTTTGATCAACGTCCTCGGAGCAATCCTGACCACGACCTCGGTCACGCCCGACCACATTGATCTTCTCGACTCGAAGCATCTCCAGAAGACCGTGAAAATCCAGATCAAGAACACTGGCAAGCACACCGAGACCTACACGTTCTCGCATGTTCCCGCCGATGGTCTCAACTGGTACGCTGACGGCAAGGGATACCCCTCGAGCGTTCCTGTCATCGAGCAGGACTACGCCACTGTCAAGTTCTCGCAGAACAAGGTCAAGATCCCCGCTGGCAAGTCTGCCAAGATCACCCTGTCCTTCTCGGAGCCCAAGAACGGCAAGGCTGCTCAG